CGGGCCGGGCGCCGCGGCCCCGGCATGAGGAGCGGGCGATGATCCCCGCCAACGCCTCCGCCAGAAAGGGGCCCGAGGGCAAGTACCCGCTGCACTACCTTGTGTGGCACAACCGCCACCGCGAGCTGGAGAAGGAGGTCCGCGCCGGCCAGGTAAGAGCGCCGTCGGGGCGTCGCGGGGACCCCGCGGAGGGGCGCGCCCGCCCGGCGTGGGGAGGGGGCGCGGCGCGGGCTGTCCCGCCTCACCGGCGAGTTTGCAGCGCTTCTTTGTTCGCAGCCGCGGCTTTTGTGTTTGTTGACCAGAAAGGGTGATGGGAGCGGCCCCCGACCGCTCCCCTCCGGCCGGGACGGGCGGCCCACACGTGTTCCGGACCCTCTCAGATTGGGGTAGGGAACACTGTGCCCCTCCGCCTCCGGAGCGGCGAGGGCTTCGGGGAGGGGCCGCGGGGTCGGTCTGTGTTCCATGTGGTGAGAGTCCGCCCCACTCAGCCGAGCAGGGACACCTCCTGCGTGAGTATGCGGAGGTGGGAAAGGCCTGTGTGGGGAGGGGGTCACAGGTCAAGTATCAGGGAATAGGCTGTGACACTCCCAGGCATTCTAGCCCCACCCAATGACCCCTACCCTCGCAGTAAGCACTTCTCTCTTTCCTTGAGACTGGCCAGAGCCCCTGGGTCCCATAGACCCCAGCACTGGCTCAGGAATGGGGAGTAAAGAGAGACCCTCTTGGGGAGGCCATGAAAGGCCTTGTCCAGGTGCTGAAAGGCGCTCTCCTCCCCTGTGGTGCTGGGGCCTGGCTTCTAGGCTCTGAGGAAGCTGGGGAGCACTAGCCACAGGGCTTGAGGTTCTGGACACAGTAGGCCCCCTAGTTCTGCTGGTCAGTGAGAATCTGAGTGGGTCAGCCAGCTTTGGGCTGGGCGGTGGTCTCCAAGAAGATATAAGGGGTGGGGTCTTCTGACTGTTCTTCAGGGCCAAGGCAGGCACAGGTCACTGACAATCCCCAATTCTGCCCTTGGCACTCAGGCCAAGTGGGTAAGCCCTTGTGGCTTGGACAGCTCACCCCTCAGGGTGAGGAACAGGAGCAGCTTGCCCTGGGTTGCCTCAGTTGGGGCCTCCAGACTTGGCCCCGGTCTGAGGCCCTGGGGCCATGGGGTGGTAGTGGTTTGCCCGGGAGTTGTCCTCCTTGGGAATACACCTTCTGAGGGCCACTTCCTGAGTCACAGGAAGTTCATGGAGGAGCTTTCCACTTCCCAAGAGAGGAATAGAGGGTGGAGGGCAGGACATCACCAGACAGTGAACGAAACGAGGGTCAGGGTGTGTCTCTGAGGTTCACCACTGAGCCCCAAGGCCATGGTAGTCCCAGTAAATGTTGGGGTGACTTGAGCATCCAAGCCTCTAGGCTGGTCTGGGGGTCCACTTCCTTTCTACCTCTGCTACACAAGGACTCTCCAAGTTGCTCCTTAGACCGTTTCTCTGTTTATGGATCATAAAGGAAGCTGTTTGCAGCCCTAGGAGGCTCGCTTAAGGGTACTAGACCCTGTGGAAACAAAAATGAACAAAGCACAGCTCCTGCCCTTAAGGAAACCCTGCTCTGGTGTGTAAACATGGAGTTACAGTGTGATTGATGTGCAGAGTGCTAAGACACAGATGGTCCAGGAGGGTTTCTTCTTGGCTCTTCTCTGCTTTTCTCCCCTGAGGGACATACCTCTGACAGAGGTTACAGCTGGAGGGATTTAAGTTTGACCTGACAGGAACTTCCTAATGGTCCAAGGATGGTAAAGCGGAAGGCTAGTGGCTGAATCTCCAGAATGCTTTTATCCCACTTTCTTGCCTGAGGGGTGGGTGGACCTTTTCCTGCAGAGACTAGAGAGAGGCAAAATGCCCTGGAAAAGACTCTCACCCAGACTTCTCTGATTGATAGTCCTGAGGTCAGCAGCCATCTTGCTGGGGTGAGGTTGAGGTGGAAAGCACTGGAGTCTGCTGCAGGTAGGAACGGTTTGGACTCACTGAGCCTGTCCCTCTTCTCCTCTCTCAGACTGACACAGAAACCAGGCACCAGGTTCACCACTGTCCCCACTCTCCTGACCCCTCCCCTCCCTTTGCCCTGGTGAGTTAGTATCTCCTTGAAATGGACACCGCTTGCTCTCAATCCAGACCAGAGGGAATATAGGGCATTGGTTGAGGTTAACCCTTGCCTAGCCAAAAAACAGCCAGGTCAGTTCTCTCCTTCCTTCTGGGGAAGCCCAGAAGGGCAGAGTCTGGGTGGGAGAGGCCCCTGCCTATACCCCAACTCCAGGGCAGACCCCAAGTGACGCTTGCACCCAAAGGTACCTGCCTACTCCTCGGCACATCAGGCTCCCAGGGAGAGCTGAGGGTGCCCAACCTGGGTGTTCCCGGCAGGGGATGGGCCTGGGGCAGCTGCCTCACAGAGTAATATCATAACGGAAGTCCCCATAACCCCCTGACATCCCAGCTGGGGGTCCCTGGCCTCTGGTGCGCCTGGCACCAGCCATCACCTAAACCAGGCTTCCCTCAAGTACATGGCAGCTGGGGTCTCTGGTCTCCACTTGGCATAGTTGCCTCTTCTTCACTCTAAGAAAGCCCAGCAGAGGCCCTCCTGTGGGCAGGCTTGGCTGCCCCGGCCGAGGAGAGGGTAACATGGAAGGCTTCAGAGCAGGTTTTGCTCAGCCCCGTTAGCTCTTTCAGGGGCTGGAAGCCAGGTGTGGTGGACAGATAGTAGGTGCTCGGCAGGTGTTTGCTTGGTGAAGGGAAGGGTTCATGACCACCCCTAACTGGCACCACAGTGGTTGCTGGGTTCCTTGCTTCCTGCAGTGCAATTTAGGCCCCTGCCAAGTTGGGAGGGACAGAGGGTTGTAGGCCAGTGGGTGTGCCAGTTCCCCCTTGCCTGGTACAGCTCTGAGGTTGGCACAGCCAGCTGGGCACGGCCTTAGTTCTGGAATCACGAGCCCTGGTGCTCTCTCGGGGGCCGGGTTAGGCTGCACAGCTCCCTGTGGGAGGGCACATGTGTCGGACGGGCTGAGGGGAGTAGGAGTCTTCCCCTGGCAACGGGAAATCTGGAGGGGGCCAGAAGAGGGCCTCGGCATGGCCTGTGGTCCTAGGGAAACCTTTTCTTTCTTCCTGGGGCCGCCTTCACTGTCGTCTTCCTTCCTGCTTTCCCCTGTTCATCCTTCTGACCTAGAGGCAGTTGAGATTGGGTTGTGGGGCCCCTGGACACCTAGACAGTGCCCACTCTATCAAGGCTACAGATGACATACAGGACCTTGGGGAGCACCCATAACCCAAAGTGGGCAGTCTTGGGGGTGAGGCATCACCACACCTAGTAAGTTGGGAAGCTCAGGAGAGGGAGCTGTAAACCCCAGAAACCAAAAATCAATTTGCTCTGTAATGAGGGGGAGGGGCTGCGTGGAGCAGGATGGAAGGGGCGGAGGGATAGTTAGCAGGGTGCTGCCTCCACCCCCCATGGCCTCCTACTCACTTTGAGGAAGCATCCCGCCTCCCTTGCCCTAGAGTGAGCTCAGGCATACCTGTTCGTACACCCCATGTTAGGTGGGAGGGCTGAGAAGTAATGACCAAACCAGGCCCCAGGACTGGGGAAAAGCGGGGGTCAGGGAAAGAAGCCAAAGGCTGAGCAGGCAAGGGCCTGGGCTCTGGGCTTCTCACGCCTCTCCTTCAGCACACGTGTTTAGTCTACACATTTGGTGTGTCTTCTTAGGATTTCACTTGACGAAAGGATTCTGCTCATGCTAAACACATTAGAAAAATACCCTGCTAGTGCATGTGGGTGTGAGGATGTGCATGTGCAAATATGCTGTCGGTGAACATGTATGTTACACACAAGGGGAGACTCCTGCAGAGCCAGAGGGCAGGTGGGCATGCATGTGCTTGTACACTTAGGGGCACACGTGTGCTGTGTAAGCGGAGGCAGAAGTATGGTACCTGTGCACGTGAGCGTGTGGAGGCAGGGAGACTCTCTGCCCAGGGAACCTCACCTCCTAAGCTCCAGAAACTCCCAGCTTTTGACTTTAGCTGAGGCCACTGGGATGAGGACTTTCCATTCTCTTGATTCTTTCCAGGCTGGCTGTAGGGAGGGCTGGGTGTTGGGTTTCATGGGAAACCTTTTCATTCCAGCAATTAAATAGCTGTAAGCCTTTGCTGAGAAGATTAATGAATTCTCCCACCTGGGCCCAGGGCAGGGTGCCACTTGCACTGCAGGCCCTGATCTGGGCTGGTCGGGGGAGCTTCTTTTAGAGCTTCTTTATGGCTGGGCATATGTGGGGTCCACACTGGCCCTGCAAAACAGCGGTGTCCTGGGGAGGCTGTTGGGGTGAGCTCCTGAGGAGTGCAGGTAGGGTGGGGCAGCCTCTCTCCAGAGCCTGGAACTGGGGAGGAGGGGAGGGAGGTAGCCTCTGGATCCCTGGTGCCAGGTGGGTTGTCCTGCCAGCTCCCTGGGGCCTTGTTATCATCAGCAGCAGCAGGGCAGGTGGGAGTCTCGGAATGGCTCAGCTGAGGCTCAGAGGCCCCACAGGAAGGCCTCCTCCTGGCTTCCGCAGCCAGCTCAGGGTGTGTGGATCCTCTGCTGCTCCAAGCCCAGGGCTCAGGGCCTCACTTAGGTTGTGGGCCGAGGGGCCCAGCCCAACCTATGATGGGCAAAAGGTAAATTGTGCTCCCCCTCCTCTATGGGGAGCTGTTATAGAGGAGCAGCGGGGGGGGGGGGCCTGTTCACAGTTCACACCTCCAAGCCACAGCCTCTCGGTGGAGAGGGACCAGGGGCACTTTTTTTTTGAGGCTCCTAGTATATCTAAAACTTCAGAAATGCAATTCAGGGTTACAAAGGTTATATAAATCATTTAAAATGTTTTATTTTTGACAAGAGAGTTCATACTCAGACCTTAAAATATTTAACTGCTGCTTCCTGGTGGCATAGTGGTTAAGAGCTATGGCTGCTAACCAAAAGGTCGGCAGTTCGAATCCACCAGCCACAACTTGGAAACCTTAGAGGGCAGTTCTACTCTGTCCTATAGGGTTGCTATGAGTTGGAATCGACTCAACGGCAATGAGTTTGGTTTTTGGTGTAGAAGTATTTATAATCAATACCAACATTTCTCTCTCTACCTCTCCCACCTTATCTCATTCCCCATAGGTGACCACGTTGAACTCTTTGAGCTGTTTCCTCAGTTATTTACCTCCTTAATTATAAATAATATACTTCTGTGACTCTTTCTTGGTTTATTATTTCTATACTTTATTGCCTTTCCTTCTCCATGTCCTTTAATATAGTCATTTTTTCAGTCCGTGGGTGGCACAAACAACTAAGCCCTCAGCTACTAACTGTAAAGGTTGGTAGTTTGGATCCACCCAGAGGTACCTTGGAAGAAAGACCTGGCAAGCTACTTCTGAAAGATCCAGCCACTGAAAACCCTATGGAACACAGTTCTACTCTGACGCACATGGGGTCTCCATGAGTCAGAATTGACTTGATGGCAACTGGTTTGGTTTTGCGTTTATTTATTGAACGAGTATTTACTGAGCACTAATTATATGCCAGGTACTAGTCCGTGGGCTGGCATATAGCAGTGAATAAAACAGACACGGGCCCTGCCTATGTGGAACTTACGTTCTAGGTGAAGGAAGACAGTGAAAAAATAAACGAGTGATTTAATGTTGGGAGAAAACTAAAGCAGGGTAAGGGGCAATGGATAGACAGATAACTGTTATTTAAGATGGAGTTGTCAGGGCAGGCCTTTCTGAGGAGGTGATATTTGAGCAGGGACCTAAAAGAAGAGAGGGAGAGAGCTTTGTGGCTGTCTAGGGTATTCAGAAGAAGATCATTACCGGGAAGGCTGGTGTGCAGGAGAGACAGGAGAGTAAATGAGTTTAGAGAGAAGTCCTAGATCTTTGGATTCTAGTGTAAACATGATGGGAAGTCATTGGAAGGTTTTGGGCTAAAGAGTGTCAGGACCTGAGTAACATTTCACAGGATGACTCTAACTGCTATGCGGCCATGTGGAGAATAGATCTCAGGAGCAAAGAGTGGAATGAAGAGACCAGTGAGGAGGCTACGAGGCTGCCAGGTGAGAGATGGGGTGGCTAAGACCAGGAAGAAGGTAAAGAAAACTGATAGAACTTTGGGTATATTTTGAAGATAGAACTTGTGCACACTCATGTGTGTGTGTGCATAGTTGTGTGTGTGTAGTTGTGTGCCTGAGTGGAGGCAGGGAGGCTCTCTGCCCAGGGAAGCCCAGCCCCTAAGCTCCAGAGACCCCAGTTTTTTATTCCAGCTGAGGCCTGCTGAGATGAGGAGTTTGCATTCTCTTGATTCCTTCCACTCTGGCTTTGGTGGGGAGGACAAGAAGAGAAATAAACACAGTACCAAGGTTTTTTTTTTTTTTTTTTCAATCTGAAGACTGAGTGACTGGAGGTACCATTTACTATGATGGGAGAACTGGGGCAGGTGCAGCTGTCCAGGAATGGCTGCAGTGAAGAAAGCAAGGGAGAGAATAGAAGTCATGGGACGTCAGGGCATTTCATTTGGTTGCATGAATTCAATTTCATAATTTTCTGAAGATGTAAATCACTGTTTTGCCCAAAAAAGACTTCTTCTATTCCCTGCATTGATTGTGTTTTCTTCTGGATTTTTAACATCTATTTGTATGTTTTGGTCTCTCTTTCATGTGGGAGGCTTCCCTCAAATGTCTAGTTATTGCTGGCTGTTGGTGCATGTTTGACAATAGGGCATGGAGCTTACTGATGCATGGATTCTACTATGAGATGTTTGCATGTCAAGCTGGCCTGTTCATTGTAGGACCCCGCAAAGTCTGTATCCGGAGGTCTTTGGTGCCTTTGGTTTCACCAGTCTCCTGCTAGGTATATGATGGGGTGGTGGTGTGTGCGGGCTGGCTGCCAGTGTTTCAGGAGCTGAGCCAGGGAAAGGGACTGGCGTTTCACTGTCATTATGTAGGCATTCACTCAGGTCCCCAGTTTTCAGCCCCATGACCTCATTCTCTGCTCTGGCCAATATCTCTGAGTCCAGTGCATTTCAGGCTCCATTTCTACAGAGAATAAACCCATAGTGTCCTATGGTAGGGGAGGGGTGTGTCTCTCAGCTTTACAGGTTGAGGAGGAGACAAGGGGGGGTCTGACTTTTAACCAGTCCCCCTGTATTCGTCCCTGTGCCTCACCCACACCTCTGCCATTCCCACTGCCTGCAGACCCTACACTTTCCAAAGTACTGGGGTAGGGGGAAGGTGAACTTGCTACTGGCTGGGGTTCCCCTCTGTGAATGCTTAGGTTCTAGCTTCCTAAGGCATTTGTGATGTCCCCAGCCACTTTCCATGTTCTAAAAATGTGCTGACATCTTTTCTCCTTATTCCTGTGGGTTTTAAATATTTTGCTGACATTTTTATAGTTGCCCACAAGTTTACCATTTCTGGTACTCTACTCTTTTATGTAGCTAGGCGTTTCCATCTGGTACCATTTTCCTTCTACCTGAAGAACTTCCTTTAACATTTCTTGCATATCTTCGGGTGACAAATTAGCTTTTGTTGGTCTAAGAAAGTCTTTATTTTCCCTTAATTTTTGAAGGATATTTTTACAGGATATAGAATTATAGGTTGATAGTGTTTCTTTCAGCACTTTAAAGATGTGATTCTGTTGTCTTCTGGCTTGCATAGTTTCTGATGAGAAGTATGTGGTTTCCTATATTTGTTCTTTACATAATGTGTCTCTTTTCTTTGCCGGTTCTAAGATTTTATTACTAGTTTGCAGTATTTGGTTATGAGGTGAATTTGTGTTTATCTTGCTTGGAGTTCATTGAGTTTCTTGGGTTTATGGGTTTATAGTTTTCATCAGACTTGGATAATTTTGGCCATTATTTCTTTAAATTTGTCGTGGGTTCCCCCCGCTCCCGCCCTCTCCTCTGGGAGTCCAAGTACACATATGTTAGAATGCCTGATAATGTCTCACAGGTCACTGAGGCTCTGTTAATCTTTTTCAGTCCCTTTTCCCCCCCTGTGCTTCAGTTTGGATAGCTGTATTGCTTTGTCTTCAAGCTCAGTGAATTTTAAAATTTCGTAGTGTCTAATTTGCTGTTAGTACCATCCAATGATTTTTTTTATTTCAGGTATATATTTGTTATCTCTAGAAGTTCTATTTGGTTCTTTTTCATATTTTCCATTGCTCTCCTCGTGAACATCTTGTGCATTTTTTTAAACTCTTGAACATATTGATCTAATTCCATCATTTTTATAATTTCTATGTCTGTTTCTATTAAATTATTTTTCTTCTGATTATGGGTTGTATTTCCTTACTTTTTCGAGTGTCTAGTAATTTTTAATTGGATGTCAGACATTGTAAATGTTATGATGTTAAGCATCTGGATTTTATTGTCTTCCTTTAAAGTGTGTTAGGCTTTGTTCTGGAAGACTAAGTTAAGTTACTTGCAAATGAGTTTGACTACTTTGAGGCTTATTTTTAATCTTTGTTAGGATGGGTATAGGTGAGCTTTTTCTTCAGGGATAGTTTAGCCCTATTAGTAAGGCAGAATCCTTCTGGGGTCTCTATTGAATACCCTGCATGATCAGCAAAGACTGTCCACTCTAGCTGGTTGGAGCTCAAATGTCTCCCTGCCCTGGTGACCTCTGGGAATTGATCAGCTTATACCTCTTTTTTGCATAGCCTTGTGGAGTTGCACCCTACACATGCAAAGTTTAGTATTCAGCAAAGACTCCAAGGACAGTGTCAGAATTTTGCACCTCTTTTTGGCATAAGTCACTCCTTTCTGTAGCTCTTCCCGGCAACTTCTAGCCACCTGAGCTTCCTTGAATTCCTGTCCCTGTCTCCTCAACTCAGTGAGACCACCATGCTCTGCTGGGGATTCCCCTCCCTGACTTGCCATCTGGAATGTTCCTACAGGCAGGAATTCAGGGCAATCATAGGGGTCATCTTAATTGTTTCCCTTCTCTCAGGGATCACAGTCCTGGACTACCTGTTGCCAGTTGTCTGAAAACAATTATTTTTTTATGTTTTGAAATGATAGTTTTATTGTTTATGGTGGGAGGATAATTTCTGTTATTCCCATGGTTTGAAGTGGAAGCCTTTCATTGACATTTTCGTCAGGTTTTAGAAAGGAGAAGAGGAGTTACATACCTGTGGTCAGTTCACTGTACTTAACTAGACGTCCTAGATTCCTGAAATACATTCAAATATTTAAGTTCAACAAACATATATGCTTTTATCACACAACAAAAATCTCATGCAATGTAATCGAACTGTTCACAAAATAATAATAGGATTTATACAAAATGTTAATGCATAGTGCTCCACAAGAACAGGACATGGATTTGAAGTTGTATCATGAATATGTTCTTTCATTCCTAACATTGTGTTACTATAACTATTTGTTAAACCTCAGTGATAATGTCAGTGATCTAAATTTGTGCCCTTCCTAAATGTGTGGCATGGGGCCCCCTAGGATAGGTTCTGGCCCAAGCACCCTCCTTGGCCAATAGCGTCTCTGGGCCACTCTTCAGCCCTAAGCTAACTCTTCATAGGCAAACCCACTTGGCCTTGGGTGAGGGAACTCAGTCAGGGACCTAGATGGACAGGAGGGGAGGAAGGCCCTCCTTCTCCCAGAGTTACCTTCTGCCCTGTCCTCCAAATTCCTTTCTACTCACCTGACCCCAGCTCATCATGTCAATCTTTTCCATTGCCCTGTTGAGTAAGGAGGGGGTTGCTGCCTGCTTAGGGGTTGTTGAGCTCAGGTGAGCTTCCTCAGAAGTGACCAGGGCTACATTTTCAACTCCCTCTCCAGGTGGACATTGAGCAGCTGGATCCTCGTGGTCGGACCCCCCTGCATCTGGCCACCACACTGGGGCATCTCGAGTGTGCCCGTGTGCTCCTGGCACACGGTGCAGATGTGGGCAGGGAGAATCGCAGCGGCTGGACAGGTGGGCACCCTTGCTGACCCAAGCCCCACAGTCAGGCTCTCCCCAGTATGTACTCACCTCCGGTTGGTTGAAGGGAGCCCTAGGTAGCTTCCAGCCCTGTGACATTGCCTCCCCCCACGCCCCCGCAGTGCTTCAGGAGGCTGTGAGTACCCGGGACTTGGAGCTGGTGCAGCTGGTACTGCGATACCGAGACTACCAGCGGGTGGTGAAGCGGCTGGCGGGCATCCCTGTGCTCTTGGAGAAACTACGCAAGGTGGGGCCTAGCCTCTCAGCTTCCCCATCATTGCTTGAATCCCATTTCTAGCACAGGTTTAGTCACTTTCCTTTTTATCCTCCAGGCCCAGGACTTCTATGTGGAGATGAAATGGGAGTTCACTAGCTGGGGTAAGAGAGGCTGAAGGGGGCTCTCTCTGGACACTTCCCACCGCAGGGCATTTGCACTCGCTGCTCCCCTGCTTGGAACACTCTTCCCATAGCTCTTCATGTGGCTCCTTCTCATCCTTTATTTTTTAGCTCAAATGCCACCTCCTCAGCTAAGCCTTTCCAGACTGCCCCAGATACACTCTTGATTCCATTATTATTTCCTTCACTCTGTAACGACTTGCTTATTTGTTTGTTACCTGTCCCCCCTTGCTAGAAGGTAAACTTCAAGAGGGCAAGGAGTCTCCCTTGTTCAATATTTTATTTCCAGTGACTGGAATAGTGCCTAGCACATAGTTGGTGTTCAATAAATAGTTGTTGAAAGAACTAATGAAAGATTGAGTGAATGAATTAACAAATGGTAGATATTAGGGACTCAGTGTTGACTGAGACCTCCCTGTCTCCAACTTCAGCTTGCTGACATCTGAGTGAGTGGGGTCTGCATTGGTGTGTGTGTGTGTCTGTTGAGCAAGGGCCTGCTCTCCTACCAGTTCTCTCACCCTTTCCTGGCCACACCACTGATCCCAACCCCCATGCCCTCAGCTGGCCCAGGCTGGGTGGGCCAGGTAAATCGAAGCCACCTCTGACCTCCACTTCCACCCAGTGCCCCTGGTGTCCAAGATCTGCCCTAGTGACACCTACAAAGTGTGGAAGAGTGGGCAGAATCTTCGGGTGGACACCACACTCCTGGGCTTTGACCACATGACGTGGCAGCGAGGGAACCGCAGCTTCGTCTTCAGGGGCCAAGGTCCGCCAGACAGGAGGAGGGGCAGGGTGGAGGGGGGATGGGAGAGAGCCCCACACCACCCCTGATCCCTGTGCTGTCCTGTGGCTGGCAGACACAAGCGCCGTGGTCATGGAGATTGACCACGACCGCCGCGTGGTGTACACGGAGACACTGGCACTGGCTGGGCAGGACCGTGAGCTGCTGCTGGCTGCTGCCCAGCCCACCGAGGAGCAGGTGCTGAGCCGACTCACCGCGCCTGTTGTCACCACGCAGCTCGACACCAAGAACATCTCCTTTGAGAGGTGAGTGGACATGGCCTTGGTCATCCTGGAGTCAGCCTGGTGGGGTGCCTGCCTCACCTCGGCCGCTCTCTTTCCCCAGGAACAAAACCGGCATCCTGGGCTGGCGCAGTGAGAAGACTGAGATGGTGAATGGGTACGAAGCCAAGGTGAGGCTGCACCCCCGGGGTGCCAGACCCAGGCACACTCTTGCCTACAGCAAGGTGACAGCCGTGAAGATGCAGAGGCAATGCAGTATGGAGAGAAGGGCGCTAGACCGAGAGTCAGCTGATGAGGATAACCAGTGTTGATTGAGCATTTACTATGTTCATGTTCAAAGCACTGTTCTGACATTTTATACACACATGTATATATACACACATGCATGGATATATACACATATATGTATATGCTCAAATATGTGTGTACATACACACGTCTATATACATATACACGTGTGTGTGTGTGCACGTGCGCGTGTGTGTATACTTATTTTGAGCCCTAGTGGCGCAGTAGTTAAGAGTTCAGCTGCTAACCAAAAGGTTGGCAGTTTGAATCCACCAGCTGCTCCTTGGAAACCCTGTGGGGCAGTTCTGTTCTGTCCTGGAGGGTCACTGTGAGTTGGAATCAACTCGATGGCAATGGGTTTTTTTATATTTATTTATTCTCATTTAATTTTCTGAACAACCCTTTGAGGTAGGTACTGTTATTCCCCTTTTACAGATGTTTGTTGAACCTTTTCCACAATATCTTATTTAATCTTCACAGCAACTCTGTGAAGTAGGGATTATCTGCCCCATTTTATGATAAGGACATGGAGGCTTGGAGTAGTTAAATGACCTGTGCAAGGTTCCACAGAAAGTGGCAGAGCTGGGGTGTAGGGGTTAGGAAGACTGTGTCTGTCACTCTGGGACCCCTGCACTGCCCAGCACATGGGGACTGTCTTAGGCTGGGTTCTCTAGAGAAGCAAAACCAGTAAAGCATATAAATATATATGTAGAGAGAGATTTATATCAAGGAAATGGCTCATGCGATTGTAGAGGCTGGAATGTCCCAAGTCCATGGACCAGGATAGAGGCTTCTCTTGATTCACATAGCCACAGGGGATGGGGAACCCAAGATCGGCAGTTCGGAGAGCAGGGCTCTTGCTCACAGACTGTGAAGATCGACGAATCCCAAGACTGGCAGGCAAGAAGGCTTCTCCTGATTCACGCAGCTGCAGGGGCTGACGAACCCAAGAACGGCAGATCGGAGAGCAGGGCTTCCGCTCACAGGCTGTGAAGATCAGTGAATCCCAAGATCAGCAGATAAGCTGATAGCTCAAGTCCCAAGAACCAGAGGTCAGACAAACAGGAGGCAGCTACAGGATCCAGAGCTAGCAAAAAGCCAGAACGTCTGCTTGTATTTGGATCCAGGCCACACCCCCAAGGAAACTCCCTTTCAACTGATTGGCTACTCACAGCAGATTCCATCATGGGAGTGATCACATGTAAACACTGAGAATCATGGCCCAGCCAAGCTGACACACAATCTTAACCGTCACAGGGACCCTGATGAACAAAGGAAATAACCAATGTGCAAGGTTCTGTACACACAGTTTCCTCTTGGAAGCCTTCCCTGGTTCTCTGGGCTAGGGTAAGGCCTCTGCTTTTTTTCCCACAGCCTTGTGCGACACCCATCAGAGCACGTATTACACCACACTATAACTGTCCATTTCCTTGTCTGTCTCTCCAACTACACTGTGAGCCTCCAGGGGGCAGGCATCGTGTCTGGTGTGGCACATAAACCAAAACAGACTCATTGCCGTTGAGTCGATTCTGACTCACAGCAACCCTGTAGGACAGAGTAGAACTGCCCCAATAGGGTTTCCAAGGCTGTAATCTTTACAGAAGCAGACTGCCATGTCTTTCTCCTGTGGAATGGCTGGTGGGTTCGAACTACCAACCTTTTGGTTAGCAGCTCAGCACTTAACTACTGTGCCTCCAGGACTTCTGCCTGGCACATAAAGGTTCCTCAAAAAAAAAAAAAAAAAAGGTTGTTGAATGAATAAATAAATAAATAAGCTCATGTATTTATTTGCCCAAAGACCTGGAGCCTGGATCAAACAGCCCCTCCAGGACCCTTCTTCCTTGTAAGGAGTGTTCAGAATGCCCTTGGGGGCAGGAAATGGGGGTAGCAGAGCTGTCTCTGAGCCCCTTTTCCATCTGCCCCCAGGTGTATGGGGCATCCAACGTGGAGCTCATCACCCGGACACGGACAGAACATCTTTCAGAACAGCACAAGGGCAAGGTCAAAGGTAATGGGATGGGCGGGTGAGGGGAGGTGTTGCAGGCCTGAAGGAACCAGCTCCTTCAGTGTCTCCCACAGTATTCCCTCTGTCATCCTAGCAAGAGCCAGGATAGTCTATTCAGGGATAGTAAGTAGATTTCAACTCAACTGCCAAGGCTTAATGATTTGCAGTGGCTGCTAACTCCTAGAGTACTGCTAAGAAGATCCTAAGGCAACATCTGGGCTCAGTGGGAAAGAATGCTGCAGTTGATTACTAATGTCTGCATTGGGTTAGGAATAGGAGAGAAATGTCATGTATGCCATTCATTGCCCATTCTAGTCTAGTGGGACATCTCTTAGGCAGAAAGTCAGGGGACCCTGCCACTGATTCTCTGTGCCTGTTGACTCCACACCTGGTTTTTCTAGATACCAGTTACCCTGTCTGAAGTGGAAAGATGTAATTCCTATCTCACAGGGGGAACAAAATGAAGTCATCAGTATGGAAGTGCCTGAAGGAAAACACACTTATACACATGTATGCCCCACAACTGCTCACCAGAGGCAAATACTGTACCATCTAGTGTCACCAACCTGGAGAGTGGCACTTTTGGAAGTTTCTCCTGGGCCTCAGGCCTACTTTTCTTCCAGCTGTGCTTGCAGTGGTTCTGCCCTCTGCCCCTGGGAGTCCTCAGTCACCTTCAGATGAAGGTGCCTGGGTGTGTGGTATGGGCAAGCAGTCCCCCCGCCCCAAGAACCAGCCTCCTCCTCGGTCTTGGGTGCAGTCCCTTCCAATGAGGTACCCAAGTATGTGCATGTCCTCTGATCTTCCACATTTCTTGTAGGTTGTAAGACACCTCTGCAGTCCTTCTTGGGAATTGCTGAACAGCATGGGGGCCCGAAAAATGGGGTGAGTGCATACCATGGGTTCCCCTGGGTGGAGGGGTGTGGATGTGGCTCAGGAGGAGGCCTGGGAGGCATCCTGCTTAGCATGGCCTATGTGGACCTCCTTTCACAGTGCCCAAGGCAGGGGGGACAGATCGGGGGCCCTGTGATACCAAATGGCTAACCTGGCATCAGAGACTGAGAAGGGCTCATGGGCCCCTCCCCATGTGGTACAGACCCTGGTCACTCAGACTCTGAGCCAAGCCAACCCCACTGCCATCACTGCAGAAGAATACTTCAACCCCAGCTTCGAGCTTGGCAACCGTGACATGGGCCGCCCCATGGAACTGACCACCAAGACACAGAAGTGAGGCCCCTGCTGGTGCTGGCTAGGGGTGGGCAGGGCAGGGTTTCCAGGAAGTCCTGGGAGGCCATGGCTTCCTGCAATGTCCCTCACCCCTTGGGATCTGGCGGGGTAGGTTCAAGGCCAAGCTGTGGCTGTGTGAGGAGCATCCCCTGTCCCTGTGTGAGCAGGTGGCCCCCATCATTGACCTCATGGCCGTCAGCAATGCGCTTTTTGCCAAACTCCGGGACTTCATCACCCTGCGCCTGCCACCTGGCTTCCCGGTCAAGATTGGTGAGACCTGCCCTCAATTTCCCCTCAGCCCCTGGTGGAGGGTGGGATTTAGATGAGGTAAGAGCCGGGCGGGGGGTCTGGGGTATGAGGTGTGAGGGTGTGTGTGGTGGCGCCTGATGGCTCCCTCATCCCTAGAAATCCCAATCTTCCATATCCTCAACGCCCGCATCACCTTCGGGAACCTCAATGGTTGCGACGAGCCGGTGCCATCGGTGCGAGGCAGTCCCAGCAGTGAAACCCCTTCCCCAGGCAGCGACTCCTCTAGTGTCAGCAGCTCCAGTTCCACGAGTGAGACCCTGTACTCCCCTCTGAGCCTGCCCTCGCTTCCCATCCCTGCCAAGCCCTTGCCCCGCCCCTTCTTGGGTGTTCATGTTGGTGGTACCCTGTGGGGTGGGCCCAGCAACAGCCTCTGACCACCAGCCCCGTACCCCCAGCTTCGTGCCGCGGCTGCGAGATCTCCCCGGCATTGTTCGAGGCCCCACGAGGCTACAACGTGCTGGGCGGCCAGCGGGAGGCAGTGTCCCGAGATGACGACGATGACCTACTGCAGTTCGCCATCCAGCAGAGCCTCCTTGAGGCCGGCAGCGAGTATGACCAGGTACTGTCTGAGGCTGGGCCAGGCCCCGGGGCTGCAGCGCCACCACAGCTAACTGGCTCCCGCCCCCTCCCTTCAGGTCACCATCTGGGAGGCGCTAACCAATAGCAAGCCAGGCACCCACCCTATGTCCTACGAAGGTCGACGGCAGGACAGGTTAGTGCCCGGCAGGCCGAGAGGGTTTGGAGACGCGTATCTCCCACCTAGCGAGACACACACACACACACACACACACACACACACACACACACACACAAACACACACACACACACACACACACACACACACAGTCTGTCTCATACTCTTGGCCCAGAGAAACTGTATCAGGATGGCTTCCAGAACACCCTTTCCTGACTCTAGGGTGTGTGCATAGTGCTCCAGCGGCGGGTGGGAGCAGGGTCCAGGCTTTACGGCCTTCAGACCCTTACCAAGCAGGACGTCATGCTCTTGGCGGTCGTGGACAGTGAGGATGGGCTTTGTAGGGATTGGAATCTGCCCTTATCTGCGGAAACCCGGGAGTTGACAGGGAACTCATCGCCTCAAGTGGACGGTGGCCTGGTCAGCTCCGTCCTCGGGCCTCCATGCTGCCTCCGGGTCCTGCTTACCGGAGGGTGCGCCATGCAGCCCCTGACATATGTTCATCGTCCCCAGGAGCGCCCCGCCCACCCCGCAGCGCCAGCCTGCGTCCCCAGAGGCCCCCGCGTCGGTCCCCAGCCCTCGGCCGAGTACGGGCACAGGCCCTGGCAGCCACGTGTTCCGGAGCTACGATGAGCAGCTGCGGTTGGCCATGGAACTGTCCGCGCAGGAGCAGGAGGAGCGGCGGCGGCGCGCGCGCCAGGAGGAGGAGGAGCTGGAGCGGATCCTGCGGCTTTCACTGACCGAGCAGTAACGCCCCCTGCCGGGCCTCTCGGCCACACCACGCGGGACCCGCCCCAGGCCCAGAGCAAGAAACGTCTGGGTCCGTATCCTCTTGCCAAGCTGGGGCTGGAGACTGGAGTCCCCACCTCGGAGCGCAGCAGCGCAGCAGGGACGAGACCGGGAGGGGTTTGGCACCGGCGCGGGGCACCTTTCCGGACCAGGGCCCTGGAGGCAGCTGGCACGGCCCGGTCCCCTGCTTTGCAGTATCCTGACTTCCCTCCACTCCTTCCCTCCCCCTAGGCTCAGACCTGTCTGATAACAGAGCCAGTCATTCCGAGGGAGAGATGAATCCTTAGAGGAGCAGTGTCCCTATCCCTTGCTCCTTTTGGCCTGCCCTCCTTTCTGCTCACAGACCCCACTCCAGGACACTGCCCTTGAAGCCTTTGCATCTCCGCTCTTCACCCCTGGGGGGCAGCTGAGCTCCCCGAGTGCTGTGTCTCCGCTTTGAGCCAGACACCAAACAGCACGCCAAGGGTCCAGCCCCCTCCCCCACCCCGGCATTTCAGCGTCAAGTGCACTTAGCGGGGTGTCCGGCTCCCCCACCCCCACATCCCTTCTGGGTCTCAGGGTGGTCCCAGCTTCTCCTTGGGCGGCCAGAAGTTCGAGTCCCCATTCCAAAGACACGTTTTTGTGATCAGGAAGGGTGTCTAAAGTGCCGCTCTGACCTGGGCAAGACCTGGCTCCCTTATGGTGTCTTGGAGAGTAGGGGCATGCTGGACTGGGGGCAGGCATAGACCGTACATTAGACTGGACACAGAGGGGTCGCCCTGGGCCCTGGCACCACCATCCACCCCTTCCTACCAGCTGCTGCTAGCCCTATGTGGTTTTGCGTCCCCCTTGTCTCTCACCCAGGGGCTGACTCTAAAACCCTTTATCCAATGGTGCTAACCCACGGCTCTCCTCTGCCCCACCCCGCCCAACTAGAGAAGCACAGACCCCGCCAGCGGCAGGGGCACACGGCACACCCTTGTCCTGGTCTTCTCTCGGACTGGCCTTCCGGGCTCAGCCAATGAGGCTCAGAAGGGACACAAAAAGGGGACGGAAGGAAAAAGCAACAAAGACAAACTCCCTCCAATTCCTTTCCTTGATGGCAGGGGCACCAGACTGATTCTGAGGCACAAATAAAAGAAGCTTCAAACCCAAGGCTTTTCCCAATTGGCTTTACTGGGGAGGAACGCCCACGGTGCGGGGTCCTTCTGAACCTCAGTGTGGGGAGCGTTCTGGGGTAAGAGGCTTCTTGTTGGGCCCTGAGCCCGGGATTGCATTTGTCAGGGTCCCCAGGAGCCTGGGGGTAGCATTTGCAGAGGCTGTGGTTCTTGCCTTCTTACCGCCACACATGCAGGAAGCACAGACGAGCCCTTTGGAAAACTTTCATTCAGTATGTCTTGTTTTCTTTACAAAGAGTCAAGGCCACAGCAGAGGGCGCGCGCGCGCGCGTGTGTGTGTGTGTGTGTGTGTGTGTGTGTGTGTGTGTGTTGGGGGGAGGTGAACCTGCTTTCTCATGACAGTTCTCCCGTGAGTTATCCCGCGGGGGGTGCTGTGAAAAAGCCGCCCTCTTCCCTGATGGGAAGAAGGAAGAGAGAAGGCCCTCGGTCATAGATCGCTGGATGTAGCCAATGGGTTCCAGCTCTGAAGCCAACGGGTTATGTATATCTCTGCAAAATTAGGGTAACGCCCGTCCGGTTTACCACTCAGGGTGGTGGAATCAAGTGAGCTGATTAGTGGCAGAAGCGCTGTAATTTCCCCAGGCAGCCCGGGGAGCCCCGTCGAATCGCTACCCCTTCGAGGAAATCAAGCCAAAGCTCCTCAATATTCCCAAGCACCGCGTTAATACTAAGCACTTCCCCTGCCCTGGACGGGGGACAGAGGGGAACATTCTTCGCCGTGCAGCACCATTGCTGAGGTCCCCCCTACCCCCCTCCGCCCCGGGCCTCCCAAGGCCAGCTCCTGCAGAGTCCGGGATGAGGCGCACAGCTCCGCCCACGCCGGACAAACGCGGGTTTGCGAGCCATTCCACTAGACCAGGACTCCCGCGAGGAGCGGAGTTCCCTCCACAGCCCCGCCCCCAGACCCAGCCCAGAGAGGCGGGGCCCGGAGTCCCGGATCAAAGGCTGGGGCGGGGCCGAGTCGGAGCTGGCCCGAGTCGGGGCGGGGCCGAGTCCGTGCGCCCAGCCCCGCTCTGCCCGCGTGGCGGGGAGCTTCCCTCAGCTCGCGGCGCTAGTCCGTGCCGTCCACCAGCTCGCACAGCATGTTTTCCAAAGCCGTGATGCGCTGCTCCTGGGCCTGCACCTGCTCGCGAAGGGCCTTGATCTGCTCCAGCAGCGTCTCCAGAGTGTGCTGCTGCTGGGACGCGGAGGACAGAAGAGGCGGTGTCGGGCAGGGGGCGGTAGGGGGACCTGTAGACTAGGCCTGGGTGGGGCGGGGCCGGATCTCACCGACAGCTGGGCATCGCTGGCTGACTGGCTGCGGCGGGGGTCGGAGGGTGGGCGGACGTCCAGGACGTTGCGCTTGGTGACCCGTAGCTCGCGGTGCTTAGCGGGTACGTAGCCGTCCCTCAGCGAGATAAGCACTGGCTCGGCGTCCTGGCCCGAGATCCACTCGTCCGCTTCTAGGGATGGCACAGGGCCTGGCGTATCTGGATATAGGTCGTCCTGGAACAGATCTGACTGCGGAGATGGGGGGACAGAAAGACGCGGGTGAACGAGGCGCCAGGCCTGTTGCGCTCCCTTCGGTCTCGGAGCCCTGCGCCAACCCCTCTCCTGTCCCCTCACCTTGCGGGGCACAGTCATAATGATGGGTTCACACTTTCTTTCGTGCAGCTTGTAGAACCTATAAAAGATTGGGGCTCAGCACTCCCGCAGAATCCTCCCCCCCGCCCCCTTAATTTCTCCTGCCTGGAGCCAAGGGGTTGGAGGCCAACACTGAGCGCCTACCATGCGTTATCAATCCAGCAGTACACCACCTCCGACCGGGGTGTTTATCATCATTTTACAGATGAGGAAACTAAGTTCAAAGAATATCAAGATAGCGCTGGGGCTGGCACTGGAAATAGGCCCGTTTGACCCCCCCCCAAACCCACTCTTTTTCCAAAGCATTAAACTGTTGGGGAAGCACCCGTAGCTAAGACCCATGGGACTAATGGACAGAGGTAGGCGTGCTGACCGGGCGATCTCGCACTTGCTGACGTCCAGACCCCGCTTGGGCATGAAACCCATGCCTCGCTGCGGCTCCTTGCTGCTGAACGTGTTCAGGTAGTGCACGAAAGGCGGCTCGTCGGTAATCTCAAAGTACCGAATGCTGCTGTCGCCCTGCAAAGCCAGCCAGCTCAGAGTCTCGCCCGGGCGGGGCCCTCCAACTCGCCACATCTCGGTTTTGCCCCCTGTTCTCCCAGCCCGTGCCTGCTTCCCCGCCAGGCCCCGAGCACCTTGCCACACAGGTAGACGATGCTGGAGTCGGGATCGTAGAAGGGCAGTAGGACCCCGTTGCTTGTGTCCATCTCTTGCAGTGCCACTGGCTCTTCAAAGTTGTTCTGCCCAAGCACAAGAGGCGTGACCAGCCCTGCCCCTCCCTCATGCGCCACTTTGGGATTCCCAGAAGCCCTTTCACGATTTCTGCCGCCCCAAACCCCATGCGTCGGTCACCGGAGCTGCAGGCCCCTCTCCTGGGCATATCCCTCTCCCTCCCCTGCACACATATGTCCCCTGGGTCGCCGCATGCAGTCACAGCAAACCACCCCCAGGGACTTGGCATCACCAGGTGGGGGCACCAGCGCCGGCTTCTTCAGGCGACATAACAAAACTAGGCAGAGGGGTGGATGTGGGGATGGTCGGCGCTGCAAAGGGGCCAGCAGCCCCCAGCCCTGTCCAGGTGGGCGTGCCCTGCTGGTGGGGGGCGCCTGGCCTTTCTCCCGTGATGCCAGTCCCCGGGGCACACACCCCCAAGCCTCCAGCTGCGTTACCGGGTCCCACAGACCCAGCTCTCGCTGGCTCATGCGGGTGAAGCCCGTGGTGAAGATGTGACCCTGACGCGTGAAGATGGCCCGCATGGGCCTCATCCCCTCGTGGGCCGCAAACCTCTCCTGGGGGGAGGGGGGAGATAGGGAGGGGCGTCACCCAGCTTCCTGCCTTGGGAAGCTTGGAGGGGGGGCCGAGCAACCACCTTGCTGACTTGGATATTTGTGTGTGCTGGTGGGGAGGTTTACAAAGGACAGGGAGATAAAGAGGGGCCTAAGTACTCAACTTCTCGGGGGGCCATGGCTGGCCCCATGCCTGGAGAGCGTCTGGGCCCGGAGAGAACACTTGTCTCCCAGCTGATCCCGAGCCCTTAAGCGCTCTCAAAGGCTGATCCCTAGAGTAGGGGATGTCTGCAGGTTCCCCAGGGTCGCAGCGAGGCTTTTCCCGGACGGGAACTCCCCGCTCCGCTTCGGCCCTCTTGGGCATGGGCCACGTCCCAGGAAGGCGCTCCAGGCTGACCCAGCGAAGGAGCGAGCGAGCGCGCCCCGCGCGGCCTGGCCTACCGGGTCCCAGAGCGCGAGTTGCCGCTCACTCATCCTGCTGAAGCCGGTGCTGAGCAGCTTCCCATCTGCCGTGAAGACGGCCCGCAGCGGGCGGGCGCCCTCGTGAGGCCGGGCTCGCTCCTGCTCGCGGGGTTAGTGGGTTAGAGCGCCCGCCAGCTCGCCCCGCCCTGCCGCGCTCCACGCGAGTGCACCTCGCAGACATGCGCGCGTCCCGCTCACCCCAGGTTAGACTGAGCGAGGCGAGTGCCGCTGCCCTCCCAGGGCACCGGGCTGGGATGAGCAACGAGCGAGGGTTGCCCCCTATCCGCCTCCCAAGGGCCCACCCGCGAGCCAGTGCCGGCCCCGGACCCTGGAAGATGGCGATGGGTGCCGTCTGAGAGGAGAGGGGTCCGTGAGGCAGGTTTCACTGCAGGTTCTAGTGGGAGGATGGAATTTGAAGCTTCTCTCCTCAATCCCAAAGCAAGGAGCCTCCTCCTATGGGCTCCTGAGATGCACAGGAGTGGAGGGAATAGGGGCGGAGCAGAGAATTGCGGGCTGGGGACTTACTTAGAGGGCAAGGAGTTGTGGTTGCAGAGACCGGAGAAGGAGGGCTGGTCTCTGGGATAGGGGTAGGAGAGGGGAAAGCTGGACTCAGGGGCTCTGAGGATTGTGGGTATGGGGGGCTGACAGCTGGTCCCTGGGGCAGGGGCTGTGCCTGGGGCAGAACCAGGCCAGGCACTCACCGCCACCACCTGGCCCTTGCGGGGGTCAATAATGCGCAGGGTCTTGTCCTTGCAGGTGGTGGCAAGCAGGCTACCGTTGCTGTTCCAGCACACGCTGTGGATGACGTCGGGGTGCATGTCGTCCAGGCTCAGCAGCACCTCCCCAGTGCCCACATTCCAGATGATGATCATGTTGTCACTGCCTGCCCAGACAAGGCCAGGCATTGTCACCCGGGCCCTGTTACCACCCCCACCCCAACCTAGGGTAGGGACCCCTCCTTCCTGGAACCCCAGACCTGCACTGAGCAGGACATTCCGGGCAGTGGGGTGCCAGGTGATGATGCCCACGCGCTTGGAGTGGCCCTCAAGTGTGATGATGGGCTCTGTAATGTTTCGCACAGGGGTATAGTCTGGAATCTGCCACACCTGGATAGGAGAAAAAGGCATAAGGTGGGTGGGGTGAGGAGCTGGTTCTGTTTGGGGGGGGGGCCCCCAGACACCCACCCTCAACCCTATGGCTCCCTCTGGTGGTAAGGATCAAATACAGGACAAGATGTGGTGGTGCCTGCCTGGGGCAGAGGCAGCTGGGAGCCAGGAGGGGGCACTGTTAGCTCTCCAGAGACCTCCCTATTCACCCCAGCAGGAAGACTCCAGAGCACTGCCCCCTGCTCTTCAGGCCCCAAGTTGGCCATGAGGCTATAATTATCCTAAGCAGTGCATCCTGGGAGGGGGTGAGCATGTAGCTAAAATTAGCCTGGGAGCTGGGCAGCACAGGGCACTAGGACCAAGCACCTCCCTTATCACCTTCCCCAGCACAGGTGAGGCAGCCCTTCCTGCTTCCCCTGCCCCACTGCCCAGCAGTGTCCACCTGGCTCCTACCATGATGGTGGTGTCATCTGAGGCACTGGCGATGACGTTGTCATTGTGTGGGCACCAGTCGATGTCCAGCACAGGAGCAGTGTGCCCAGTGACCAATGGGTAATTCTTATCCACTCGCCCTGTCTGGAGGGGTCAGAGAGGAAGATGCAGGGCCACCTTCCTGTGTGTTTTTGGGGGGTGGGCAGAGGATCTGTTTCCATTCCAATTTTCTGTCATCTATTTTCTCTTTATAGACCCCTCTCTGCACCTCCAATCCCATCCAGCCCAATCCCTGTATTTCACTGAAGGCAGAGTTGAAGTCCTTTCATATTAGGGAATCAGACAAAGAGAGGTAAAACCACTTGCCCAAGAACACACAGCATGATACTGGTAGAGTCAAGACTTGAACTCAGTCCAGTGCTCTTCCAAAGACTTGGAGGAGGCTGTTCTTGGGCCTTTTCCCCTAATTGGCATAACTACGGGAGACCCCAGGTGAAGGAGGTCAAGGTGCGGTAATACTCAGTGCAGCGCCCAACAGCCCTTTCCTAGCCACTCTTGGTAGATCTCTCCCTTGTCACTGCCTTCACCTTGGAACCACAAACAGCAGGCAATCCTGGTACCTACTATCCCCAAACCTGAGCTGGGGGCCCATCTATTTTTGGTCTTCAAAGGCTGCTTGTGGGGGTTCAGAGCCCTCTGCAGAAACTGGCATCAGCCCAGACCAGACGGAAGGGAGAGGGGCGGCTATGTGGCACGAGAATGCCAGGACTAGGGGAGGAGGCAGCTCTAGGTGAAATTTGAGCCTTAGGGATGGTGTCCCTGGATGGCATCTGCATTGTTCCTGGGTGAGTCACCGGCTATTGTCAGGCCTCTTCATGACCTTGCCACCTGTGGGGCCTCGCCTAACAAGGTGTAGGGGCCAGAATCCAGGTCAAGGTCATGCCTTAGGGTGGCCATGCTGGGGTAGACGTGGCCACAGGGCTTGAGGTTATTGCCTGGTCTCCATCCCTAAGGTAGGACAAGTGTCATGTCCCCCTGCCCCTCACTCTCATTCTACCTCACTGCAAGAACCTTAGTGGGAAGGTGGCCAGGGACTCTTTGGATGGGGCCTGACCCTGTCCTCAGTGTGCTGCTCTGGGGTGTGAGTTTAATCAAATGGTCACAGTGGGCTGGGGAGGAGGATTCCCACACCCAGAATACATTAGGAGAGACTGGAACAGAATCTGGCCAGGCGCTGGCTCTGCTCCATCACCAGACTCTTCTCCTCCTGGTCCCTGCTGAGAACAGGATGCTGTACAAAGAGGGGGATTGGGCTGGGGAGTAGAAGTACATCTCCATAAAGCAGCAGTTCAGGGAGGGCTGAGGGAGTCTCCCCACCGGCTTGGGGAACAGGGGGCAGCCAAGCCACAGGAACTGCCTCCCATCTGAAGAATGGAGTTCAGGGTATGTCAACACAGGCTGCTGTCAGAAATCCCCAGTGGTCCCAGCCAGTGTCTTCCCCACTTGCTTCTTTCCCCCGATTCCTCACCTTGGCCAGAGCCAGGACCATGAAGGCACCCCCACCTCCAGCCTCCACGATAATGGCCAGGAATTTGGGGTTGACGGCACAGAAGGAGCTGTCCCATGTGACCTTGGACACACGGATGTCCTCGTAGGTCTGGTCGGCCTTTGCCGCCTGCCCAAACACATGGCGGAACTTGCTCTGCCGAACCACGCGCCTGCTCATGGCTGGGTCAGAGGCGAGGATCTCAGTGTCCAGAAAGGCTTTTGGTCCTTAGTCCTGTGAGCTGTGGGAGGGAGGAGGAGTGGAGGGTGTGGCAGGTGAGGAAGGTTATCTGGCCAGGAGTGAGGTATAAATTTATATAGAGTCTGGTTCTAGCAACAGGGAGATTTCTCGAAGGTGATCAAAATCCGGAAAGTTCTTTGCCACCTGTAAAGTGTTGCTTAATGTAATGGGCTACGATTTAGGGCCTGACTTCTTGGAGACCCAGGCTGGGGGGACAGTGGGGTCTTCAAGTGTTTTTTGGGAGAAGCCTCAATGCCAGTCTGCCCTCCCACTGCCAACCTTGGATGAGCATCTCTCCATGCATGTGGTTGTATCTCCCACAGGTACTGTCTCCACAGTCAAAGGTCCTGGGCCTTGGATCCTGGCTCAAGGCCAGGAGATCCTAATGTGGAGATTCTAAACCATATTTCTGACATAGTTGAGGCAGATGGGGTTCTGCTTTCTTCCTAAGGATTTGTCAAGGGAGAAGTTCCTCCTGTCAGCTAACCTAAGACTTTCCTGCTACTGTTTTCATCAGTTTCTTCCCCTGCTGCTGGGGAAGACAGTGTGTAATGTGGATCTCTCCCTACTCTCCTTGCTCCCTGCACTGGCTTATCTAAGAGGCCCTAACCTCTTGGATGATCTTCTGACTTTTGCCCAGCATCTTGCGGCCCAACGCTTCTCTGGCTCCTTTGCCCTGCTGTCCTGTCCTCCTCGTGTAGCTCTCCTGGGGGTGGGGTCCTCGACCCCTCGGCCTGAATTGCCGGAGGGTGAGGTTCCTTTACTCCAGCCAGGGCCTGCCCTATACGCTTCTCCAGGGGATGCACCGAGCTCTCCAGACGCCCCAGCCACTACTGTCTCTCCCCAGCCCCGGAATCCCTGTGCCCTTCACGCCGCTCCTGCGGCCCCAGGCCTGGGGCCCGGCCTCCCCGCACCCTCCTCCGGCCTCCTGCCCAGGCACTGCGTTCTTGCGAGACGAGGTGTCTGCGCCCTGCGGGGCGCGCGGGCCGTTGTCCGGCCAAATATAGGCACCGAGTCCGCCCCGCCCGGGGCCGAATTTGGCGGCGGGGGGAGGGGGACGCAGACCTCTGCCCCCTCCAGAGACCCGCTGGCTCCGCTGGCTGCGGTGGCGGCGGGGGTGGGGTGGGTACCTGGTCCTGAATGGGCTGGGGGGGCGCTCACGCCGCGACTCCTCTGCGGAGGGGGCTGGGGGTACGCTGGGGACCGAGGGAGGCGTCAGGGCGCCGGGGCTGCCTCTCGGGGTGTCCGCGGCTTCTGGAACCGGAGTGTCCGGCTGCGCGCTCTAGCCGCTGCCTGCAGCTCTCCCGGGCCCTGCGCCGCTGCAGTCCCAGCTGCCGCTGCCATCAACCTGAGGGGGCGGGGTCTAGGACAGGGGGCGGGACCAGAGCTACCCCGCCCCCTCCCAGCGGCGGGAAAGTCGAGCGCCCCCGACTGCACCGATTGCCGGCCGGCCTCGAAAACGCGTCAAAAGTTAAGCGTTCGTGTGTGCGCGAGGTGCGCGCGTCCCTTCCCCACCTTCCACTCCTCCTGGGTTGGGGTGAACTGGGAAGGCGCAGGTTCCCAGGCCACGAGCGGGGTTCTGAGATCCGGAGGCGGTGAGGGAGAGCGAGGGGCCGCCCCTGGAGCCGGCAGCCGCGCGAGGAGATCAGGTGCCTTCGCGCCGCATTCCTGCTGCAATCGCGTTCCGGATTTAGCCAGTCCCCGCCGGCCGGGGCCGCGAGGCCGGGACATCTAGGTCCCGCGGGGGAGAGGCCCCGGAAGATGCTCCGGGGGAGTCGTGTCAGCCCTTGGATGAGGCCTAGACTGCCCTCTGGCAGCTGCGAGACTACCCAACAAATGGATGTGAATGTTAGTTATTATTCTTGTTATTATTAATAGATACAGCTACCATCTGAGAACCTACAACGTTGGCACTGTATTAGGGCTTTCACCCCGTTAGAGAGGATTCCATGGAGCAGGGAGGGAGCTGGCCTGAAGAGCAGGGAGAGGAGAAAAGTGAGCCCACCTTGACCCCCGGGAACATCAGCCTCAGGGGGAAGGGTCTCTGGCTAATCAAAATATAGGGGGGTCAGAGTGGCCAGTCTTCTGGGCCTTGTTTGAATTGGGGCTGGACAGTGTTCCAGGGAAGCCTCCCCACAACTCCCTCAAGACCCTTGGATCTAAATACTGACGAAGAACAAGGAGGAGATAAAAAGAAACCTGGAAATTGAAGAAAGTTCTAGTGTGTTGAGGTGGCGGTATTGGCCAGGTTGTGGGAGAAGCCATTAAGGGAACCTGAGTTGCCGATTAAGCCGGATCAAGGTGACAACCTCCCCAAAGCACCGAGACTTCCTGGCAGAGTCTATCCATAGAGAAAAGCCAGTTCTGGGCAAGAAACATGAGGAAAGGCACTTTGAGAAGGCCTATGTGGTCCTTGGCCAGTTTTCCATGCTAAAGAAAGATGAAGAGCTCTTCTGGGAATGGCTCAAGGACAGGTGTGGCATCAATGCCAAGCAGCCCCGGGACTGCTTTGGGTGCCTTCCAGAGTGGTGCAATGCCTTCTTGTGATGCTGCTTTCTGGGGAGTCCCCAGTCCCAGCACAGAGTCTCCAAAGTTTGAGCTAAGTGGGCATTTCTCCCCCACCCTCTACAAAGGGAAAGATTGTTGTTGTCCTATTCACGGCCGAAGTACTCCTGTGTCTTTTGGGAGTTCTTCCCCCTCACAATTTCAGCTTTTTTTGGAATTCTTGCTCTTGCATGAGCACCCCCACCTCCCTTCTCCTGCCAGTTCCACAGTGACAACTACCAGCTTTCCTGAGTGGATTCCTGGCCCACTCCCTCATTCTCACCCTCACCTCTGGTCTGTTTTAGGCTTCTTTTTTGGTAGAACAGTCACTGTCCTTGTGAAGATTTGTGAATCAATGAAGTCAGTGGCCGTGGAGGTGAGGGGGACTTGATCAAAATTCAGACAGCTAAGAACAGCCAGTCCCTGGAGGCAGTCTACCCTGCTCCTGCCTGGATTCTTTCCCTTCCATCATAAACCCCTGGAGGGCAGGGTGGGACCAGTTATTACTTCCCAGCTCTGGGGCAAACCTGGGACTGAGTGGATCACAGCTGGAGGGCAGAGACCTGCAGTGGAGGGGAGGAGGGAACGTGGTGAGAAGTGTGAAGGCCCCCACAGACTCTTTGTTTCTCTGGAAGAGTTGCAGTATCCAGTGGCTTGTAGGGGAATAGAATCAGAAACTTAAGGGCACTCCAGAAATAATTCACACCATGGGGGCTATGAGGGTAGATGAGGAGTCTGCCATTTTCTTAATTATTTCCAGGCACATGATTAGGAGGAAAAGACCTGAGTGACTCAGTTGCTCCTTAATAACTCACAATGTTCTGCATCCTATTTTGGTGAGTGGCATCTGGGTCTTAAAAGCTAGCGAGTGGCCATCTAAGATGCATCAATTGGTCCCAACCCACCTGGAGCAAAGGAGAATGAATAATACGAAAGACACAAGGAAAGTATTAGTCCAAGAGATAGAAAGGGCAACATAAACCAGAGATTTCATCAGCCTGAGACCAGAAGAACTAGATGGTGCCCGGCTACCATCAATGACCGCCATAACAGGGAACACAACAGTCCCTGATGGAGCAAGAGAAAAGTGGGGTGCAGAACTCAAATGCTAGCAAAAAGACCAGACTTAATGGTTTGACCGAGACTGGAGGGACCCCGGAAGACATGGCCCCCGGACTCTGTTAGCCCAAAACTAAAACCATTCCCGAGGCCAACTCTTCAGACAAAGATTAGACTGGATTATGGAACATAAAATGATACTAGTGAAGAAATGTGCTTCTTAGCTCAAGTAGATAACATGAGACTAAATGGGCAGCTCCTGCCCAGAGGAGAGATGAGAAGGCAGAGAGGGTCAGAAGCTGGTTGAATGGATACGGTTAAATCCAGGGTGGAAAGGAGGAGTGTGCTGTCACAGTATAGGGAGGGCAACTAGGGTCACATAACTATGTATAAATTTTTGTATGAGAGACTAACTTGAACTGTAAACTTTCACTTAAAGCACAATTAAAAAAAAACCCAATTAACTCACACACACTATGTCCAGGCACTGTTCTAAGGGCTTTATGCATATTAATTCCATCCTGGTAACAACTTTCTGGTATGAGTACTATTATTACCCCTATCTTACACATAAGTAAACTGACACACAAAGAGGTTAAGTAGCTTGCCCAAGACCACTCAACTGGTAGTTGGTAGTGCTATGATCCTTACTCAGATGGTCTGGTGTCTGGGGCCATGCTTCTCATGCATTTCTGCCTTCCTGAAGGATGGTGCCCATTGGTATCATAAGCACTGAGACTGAATAACACAGCAGAGAGGAAAGGATGCCTGGACTAATGAGAACACTGGGGTTCCAGCCATGGCCCAATCCTATTTTTGCAGTTCTCTGGGCTATAAAATGAAGAGGGCCGGGTCAGGTTCTTTCTAAGTCTGCACCACTTGTTGGCAGAGAAGGGATTTGAAATGCTGTCTCCTACTCTGAAACAGCATCTTTCCTTCCCACTCTCCTCCTTCCCGCCTTCCTTTTTAGAGACACTTGGGGACTCTTTTCTAGAAGTAAAAGTCTGGGACTAGAAAGGAGTCTCTCAGTCCATCCTGCCTTCAGTCCATCATCTGTGTACAGGAAGGGGGATTCTCAGTTATTGCTTGGGCATGGCGTGGCTCAACTCTGCCCTTTAGCATTCTTCTGGCTGCCAAGTTCTGGGAGAGCCATGGGTGGGTGGAGCCAAAGCATGAAGAACCAATCGGGAAGAAGCCACCTGGTCTTGGTGCCACCCCTTCCTGGTACCACTTTGCACTGTCAGCTGGGTTCTGAACTGCAAGAGGTAGAAGATGGGCACAGATTTCATCTTTCATTAAGCCATTTTCTGGAAGGGGTGGCCTGGCAACACCATGATTTGGTCTGTCTGCTTTGGCTAGAAAGCCAAGACTGAGCTCATCTAGACCGGTCAGAGATCCCAGGAGCCTAGAATATTTTGTGAAATGACTCTGCTCTCTATCATGAACGCCATCCAGCATTCAAGCCAGAGACCAGGGACGTGCACCTCCTAATTGATAATGGGTGATTCAGAATGAAGCAGGGTCACAGCTTTAGTTCAAGGCAGTGTCTCCTCTGGCAACTTCAGGACGTTTTGTTGTTAGCAATTTGGAAACTGAAAACTGAGCTTTCCCTAGATGGTATGTGATGAATGGCACCCACTAAAAATCTTGTGATGGGAAAGGTGGAAGAAGTAGAAATACCCCCTATCCCCAACTCATTTGAGAGAACTGCCCTTTGGCCCCAATCTCCCTCCTGCACCATCATCACATTTCTCTTCTAAAAGAGGGAGGTGAAGCAGTGGATAGGGTTAAAATTTCTACTTCCTTGCAGTCAGTCCCATTTCTAGAAACCTTTCACCGAGCTGCTGTCTTGTGCTCAAAGCTTGTGAGTTCTACCTTACCAGTGTCCAGAGAGGTCACCCACCAACTCCAGTCCCTGCTGGAGAAGGTCACGGCAGTTGTCCCAGACCAGTCATTCTGCACCACAGATGGTGGAGGGATTTTGGTTCCTTTGCTTATTCATTCCCCTAACATTCAGGTGGTGGCTTTGGCAAGAGCCTCCTTGACCAGGCAAGTTCCCAGCTTGGTCACTTGACTGGAGTCACCCTGAGATAATGTTTAGTAATTCTATCTCCTATCTAGTCTTTTATTTTGTGGAGAGAAGAAAGTTGTTTTTCTCCAGAGCTCAGCTATCTGTTAAGGGTGTGATCGATGGGGCATCAATCAATGAGAATTGCTCCATGTTTGATTTACCGTCATTTCCCACTCTCCCCAGCAACCCCTTCCTCCTTTGTTGTATTTGATAAAGCACATGTGTTCATGTTTCATCTTCAAAATAAAAATTTATTCAATCTGTAACAAGAACATTGAATCTGCACATTTGCGCACAAGTTCACATTTAAAAACAGCGGAGCACATCAGTAATAAAAAAATCTATGGTACAAGTGGAACATCCCAACCACCAGGAAGATTAAGGAAGGAGATGAGCCCACTCTTTATATTCTGTTTCAAATGCCTCAAAAAGGTCCCAGAGATTCCAGGGAGCACCTGCTTTATTTAATAAAACATGAGCATAAAAGTTTGGGGTGGCCTGGGGCAAAGGTAACAGTCAGTGAGAGAGTCTTCTGGACTTGTTTTCCATATTCTGAAAAAGTCCTAAAAAATAAAGTAGAAAGAAACAAAGGAAAGGCACCTTAAGCTATGCCAAGCAAACCAAAACCCAACAAAAAATAAAAACCAAGCAATCCCCTGTGGGCTTGTTGATTGGAAAACATTTCAGGACCAGTTACCCACTTTTCTGATTGGGTCATCAGCTCTGCACGTGTACACAGGCTGCGTCACCATCGCTGTGGGGACACAGACGGCAGCACCGGTCATAGACCTCTTGGGGGCTCTTCAAGCTGATGAGGGGTGATTCCAGTTTAGAAATCCTGTCCTAGATCTCTGGGGCACTGAGAAAATGAGGCTGGTCTCTTTTCACAGCAGGAGCCAGGCCCAGTCACCCTCCACTGCCAGGCTGGAAAAGTACAGAGGCACCTTGCAATAGCTCTCCATGGCATCAAGGGACCCCAAGCCCTGGGAAAAGGGTTAGGAGCGTGCAGCCACCTGCTTTCATAGCAGGCCTTTTCCTGATATGGGTGTCATATGAGTTGAGGCAGCAAATCACGCTTATACCTAATACGTGCCTTCATCTTACTTTTAGTTTGGAAGGGAAAACAAAGTCCAAGATGCTTTTAAGTTGGATTGGTGATGCAACAGCTAAAATTTCATCTTGTCTACCATCAAAAAGCAAAACAAAATTAAACAAAAATGACACTAGCCATTCACCATCACAACCTTCACTGTAAGACACACCATCACTGAGGAAACAGCAACTATTTTCCACACAGAGTATTGGATGGGGGTGCAGGACACAGGTAGAAATCAGCTCCAGGTTTTGCCCACTTACTCATGAGGGCTGACCATGGCGTGGCTCGGTGAGGACTCACAGGACAGCCATGGCTGGGTACCTGAAAAGGAAGGAGGCTGAGCGGCCGACGAGACGATACAGGTTTTAATACTCACAATGTAAACAAAGTATCCACAAATAGGTGTCCAGAAAGCCAAAGAATGGCTTTACTGAAAAATTTTAAAATGCCCTTTAAAAGTTATCCTTTTTGCATAATGCTTTCTTAGAAGAACAAGAAACAACTCCCACAAAAACATTTTTACCAAACATGCCTAGATCACTTCAGAACTGAAACTCTCAGATGGAACAGGTGATTTCTATAAGCTGCTTTGTCTCAGAAAAGCAGCTTCTCGTAGGAAGCTTCAGGTCTAGCCGACAGCATCTATCTGGGGCCCATGAACAGGAGAGGACCCCAGAGCCTGGGCTGTCCTAAAAATGAAAGAGAAAATACCAGTGGGGATAAAGGTACAGAACCAGGAAAATTCTGGATAAAGGGCCTGAAGAGGCCGAGATATGAGGAATGATCCCAAACTTTTAGAATCTGAAAGGCAACCAAAAAGAAGAGAGATGAATACTACCATACTACAGTACTACATGTCCACTACAGTACACACTATTCCTAAGTGTTTCCAAAACCAAGAAAGGCTTGGGATTTCTCTCCCTTCACACTGACCAGGTAACCATCCCAGATTATAGCTCAAAACCTGTGTGCTCCTGGGACTTTTTCCCCACGCATCAAAATGTTACTCTTTACGAATATGTGCACACACAAGCGTGCATGCACGTGAGTACATACACACACAGCCCTCCAGAGTAAATGAAAGTCAGATGATGGTGGTTTTTGAGATGAAGACAGAGGCAGTGAGCAAGACGCCAAAGCTTTTCCTCCTCAGTTTGTCAATCTACCAAACCCCTGCTGTTCCAGGTCTGGATATTCCACAAACAGAAAAGGGAAACAGGCCACCAGAGATTCTCAGAAAGTTTGAAGAGAAAAAGTCTGAGAAGTCCTTGACCCCTCATTATATACCTCTCCAGGACACTGCTCAGTCGTGTAAATAAAATAAGACCCAACTGTGGGAGTTTGAGAGGGCTGGCAAAGCCCCTTGGCATGGCTGAATCATAGACCCTGTGCGTAGAGGATGTTTATTTAGGCAGGTAAATGAAATGATAAAATATGTAATAAAAACAAAATGGAAGGCATAGGAAGACCGTTTCCTCCACTCTTTAAACAAAAAGTTTGTTTTTCACAGCATTAAGGGTTTCTCCCCAGCTCTGCTGTTACTTAATGCAGTGAGCATGAGCATTACACACAGTGGGAGGGGAGCAGAGAGCAGTATAGTAATGCTGATACTGCTTTTACTTCTGAATGTGTGGGATGTCACCATCTCAGGGGTTAACATGAGTGGACACCATTTTCTTATCCTCCATGCAAATCTCTCCCTGCCTCTGTCCCAACTTCCTGTCTTTCCCGTCATATTGGTGGTGGAATGGCCTCAACAAGATGGTCACTTCAGACGGATGAGTCCTGGAAATTCATAACCCTGTCTCACAAGCCTCCTCACATTTGTACATAGCACCTAAAAAACCACCTCACAACACATTAAGTATCCAGGAATCACAAAGCTGTATAGATGATACATTTGAATCTTTAAGAAAGCTATTTAGGGACAGCACAGTTATGCATAATCACTACACCACAAAGACACAACAGGCAGTTTCTGCCCAACCTGCCTCCTGGCAGTGGTGTCAGTCCCAACCAGAGTTTCACACGGCAACTGGACTTATAGCTCGTCTGGAGCACCTAAGAGTGGCCTCAGTCCACCCTTACTCTCTCCTGTGGGTCACCCTACTGCTTGCCCCCACTAAACTCTGCCCTCTGACATCAACTTGACAGTCTCTCCATCTGTCTTTTCCTTTCAATGCTATGATAAGCCAAAAACCTAAGTCTGAAGTCCACCAGGTCAATCTCTCAGCAATGTGGACATCAACCAAAGCAAACAGGAAGCAATTTGCAAACCACCTTCGTTTTGGTGAACTTCAGAGGGTATTTCATTCCAGGGTAAATATATTTTCTGTAAGAAGCTGAAGCAGGCTTGTTTATGGCAGGTGCTTGTGTTGATGATACCCACAACAGCAGCAAAGCAACAGCCTCCTCAATTACTAGGTGCCTGCCCTTGGCCGAGGCCTCCCCTGCCACCTCTCAGCCACCAGTAGGAGCGTCCAGCTTGGGCAGAAGTGACAGTCCTATTCACTCCTGGCTGCAGTTCAGCTACCAGCAAACCATGTTCTGGGATTTCAGTCTCAGAAATCAGCCTTCAGGCAAACCGATCTAATGGGAGGCTTCAGGGCTTTCTCTGAGGAGGAAGTTACTAACACATAATTTGGCAGGAACTGGAGATTAGAAGTCTCCATTTAAACAATTAAAACCACCATCAATATACTGTGCAGATTCTACCAACACCCATCAGTTTTATTTCTGTGGTGTCTTTATGTGTTTTCCAGTTGCAGCTTAACTCCTTCTTAAAAAGAATAAATTGAAAAGATCCTACAACATCAACAACAAAACACTGTAAGAAAGTGACAACACATATGTACATAAATACTGTGTATGAACTTTAGAGAAATGACAAACCTTCCAGGAAAAGAATGGGAAAAAAAACCCAAAAAAGACTTATGTCAAGTGTTAACAGTGATAATGTAGAAAACTTTGCTTTCAATGGAGGTTATACATATGTAACAATTAAAATATCATCTATGAAATTAAAAAAAAAAACAACCACAGGCAGCACTGGGGAAATAGCAAGGGGGAGGGAAATACATTGGAAAAAAAAATATGGCCATTAAACTCAGAAGGCCCACAGAATTATTCAAGTAATGGAAGGGTTAAAACCCTACAGATGTATTCATTTTAAAAGAACACACTGAGTTTTAATTGCTGTTTTACAAACTTGTCACTATTGCGTTTTCATTGGGAGGACTGGGAAGGCCAGGATGACCACTCGTGTGGATCCCACCAATCCAGAAGTTACGGGGCAGTGGCCTCTCCATCCACAACTTTACCTCCTCCTCCTGTCATGCTTTCCTTTACAGAAGACTTTCTCCTGAGTTTTATTTGGGGTTCACTTTTAATGTCAAAAATTATTTGCTTGGGAAAAAACTATTTGCTTGGTAAATTTACAAAGGCAGCCATTATCATTTTTGTAATGATAGGCTCTGGAATGCCAGAAGAAATGGATTCTGGAAGACACCCTTTGAAAGCTAAGCAGAACTCGTGCGCCTCAGGACTCCAGTGGGCTGGGGCTGGAGATGGAGGCTGAGAGCGCTCTGCCGCCAGTCTGGCTGCCCTTCAGTTTATCCAGTGCCTCAGGTCTGCGAACCAAACCATCATCACAATGGCCCTGGGGAGCATTTCCAATTTCCAACGTCATCTCTACCCTCCCCATCTGCTTCCTTCCCTCAGTCAAGCAACCATGCCTTTTCTCAGAGGGCAAAATGAGGAGCAGGTGGCAGTTGATTGAAAAACAGCAATTTGCCTTTGATAAAGGTGTTCTTTGAAAATGAGTTTTCTTTTTTTTTTGAGGTTTGAATTAAAAAAAAAAAAAAAAACAAAATGGTCTTGCAGTCCAAATCTCTCTTTCTCTCTTGCACACACACGCAGACATACACACAAAACCCAAACCCTGCATGCGCCAAGAACAGTAAAATGACCAAAACATTATAAAATTAACCAATAAAGTGCATGTTCCTTACATATTACACCTGCCCCTTTACAAACATTTCTTTTCAAAAGTCACATGTGTAGGCTCAGAATCACATGGTATTATAGAAGGGGTTGGTTGTCCTTCTTTTATCATTCGCCTTTTTAAGTCTCCTAAGGGGGTGAGTTCTGCCATGTTGCTGACGGGGCGCCACAGCCAGTCCTGGAGCTGCGCCTGCACACTGTAGTCCCTGGGTCTGTAGCAAAGCAAGGCCTCCTTCAGAACTAGTCAATTCAGGTCCTGCCCTGGGGAGTGAACACTGCTGACCGTGACCAAATTCTTTGGCATACTGCACAAGGGGCCTTTCCACTGGCTTGCTCTGCGCAATACACTCTGTTGTTTTGAGTTGCTCTACAAAATACTTGGTGGGCTCTGGGTTCTGGGGGACACCTGGGTTTTCTGGGGGCTCCTGGACCTCCATGGCATGCATGCCTGAGTCCGTCCTGATGAAGGGCTGAAGAAGTTTGAGATGAGGGGATTCTGAGAAGATAGGTTCCCTCTCCGGTAAACAGTCTTTGCAGAGGTCCAAGTAACCTAACTTGACGAGGGAAGCTGAGCGCCTTATTTGGGATGGGTTGGTGAGCCCTGCCTGGCAAATCACTCGGGACTCGATTTCTTTAGCACGTTCCTTCACCACACCGGCGCTGTGGCTGAGACCCTTTATACTGTCACTACTGGAACTATGTGGGAGTTGACAGGCCATGGGTGATGGGTCCAGTTTTTCTTGTAACTCCTCAATATTGTCATCAAGTTTGCTAATTAAGCTTAGATCTTCGCTACTTAACTGGGAGCCCTTATGTGGCAGCTCATCGCCACTGCAGAGGGGGCCCTCCTGACTTTCTTCCCAGCTACCCTGCTGTGTGGAGGGCTCATTGTCTGTGCTGCTGCTTTGCTCTGTGAAGCCCTCCAGGTGAACCACGGTTTGGGGATGCAGGTAATCCAAGTTGGCAGAGGGTACATGGGTTGTGCAACTGACAAAAGGCGCTGCTGTCTCTAGGGGTGTTGATGGGCTGTTGCTCCTGTCATCAGGGCTGCTAAGGGTGGAGGTTGGGCTGGTGGGTCTGTCATGCTCAGGAGAGGAAGAATGTGGCAGAGGTAGCACTTGGGGGTGGACAGAAACCTGGTTGGGACAGACAGTCCTGTTCAGATTTTCATCCAGTGCACAGAGCACAGTGATGGACTTTTCCACTTTTACTTTCCTCAGCCCTTGCTCCCCACCCTTTTCGGTGGTGGCTACTTCAGCCTCTGGGCCATGGTGATCAGGTGACGTAACTGTGTGAGTATACTCGATGATTTCTATCCTCTTGGGAAGGGAAAGAGGGACTGCCTGAGTCTCAGACCCCTGGCATGAAAGCACAGTCCTCTGCTCCTTCAGGACTCCTTCCTGCTGTGTTCTAGCATCTGACACTGGGTGCTCCTGAGGAGCTGGCAAGGGGTGAAACTCCAGCAGCTCAGGTGCTGGAGCAATGGCTTTCTGCTCAGGAAGGGGCAGTGAGCCAGCCTTAGATCCACTGCATTCCCCTTTGTCCTTGCTCATCTCTGATTCCTTGGGGACAACTGAATGTTCCAGAGTGGCCTCATCACTTTTCCCTTTTGGTGCTAGGTCTGCCACCAGAGAATCATTCTTGGAATTCTTGCGAGTGGACAGTGACGTACATACAGGGGCAGCACCATGGTGCTCTTGCTCTTGCCGCAAGCGTTCCTCAAACTCCAATGTGGCTCGCCTCACTGAGCCCGGGCACCACTTAGCACCTGGGTGCATCTCTGGGCTGCGGAGCTCTTGTTCCCCTTCAGCTGGTTCCTCTTCTTCCAAGTCTGCTGTGAATGAACATGTGGTTAGGCAGCCTTCTGGGTCCCACTTCCCTGAGTCTTTGGCTAGTTCAGGCTGGGCTGCACAGGAACCTTTGTTCTGCTCCAGATTCCCAGGTTTGTTTTCCAGGGCCTGGGCCCTCTCGATGGGCAGCTCATGGATGGTGTTCTTCTTTGGCGTATGGCATGGGTTGGGTAGGACATCTCCTTTCAGTTGAATCTGTCCAACTCCTTGACTGATGGACTCAATCTCAGTGATGATTTCTTTGACTGAAATTGCATTTTCTGAGTGAGACTGCATGAAGATATCTGGGCTGACCAGTTCTGAGATTGCCTAAGAAGAGAAAGTAGTGGGATGGTTATGGACAACTGCAATCCAGTTGAAAATGCCAGATGTTCTGCTTATTAATCCTGATCCAGGACAACCTATCTGGACATGAGGACATAAATAATGGAGTGCCTGGGGCTGCACTCTGACCATCTGTTTTGTGGTACAAGGAAAAAACCGGACTCATCAAAGTCAGAGATACAAAATTAGTTCCCAGGTCTACAAAACTTTCTGTTCTGTTTACTCAGGTAGGATTCCAATTCAATAAACTTGCCCCCAAAATTAACAGCAAATTGCCTTGGAGGTTCCCATAATACTTATTTTTCTAAGACCACGAACACCCAGGATGCAGGCCATACTGGGGCAAATGAAATCTCTTTCCTCTGGCCTATCAACTTCCAGTTTGATCCCAGTCTACTTCAAGTGGAAGAGTTCCATTCAAGGCCTTAGATATGCCTTGGAGCGAGATGGATGAGGCTACCATCTGATGTCTGATAGGACACTCACTGCTCTCTTCTCTCCTCCGTTTGCCAGCTTTCATCCCCATCCTCCCACTGCTTCTCCTAGCAGCAGCATCCCCAGCACAGATGGGCAGGGAGAACGCACTCTGTATCTGACCACACAATCCCTAAGTTTAAATGACTTCTTCTGGGAAAGGGTTACGTAGCTTATGCAGCCACATAACTCAGCAAACTCTGAAACTGTGACTCTCTGGTATTTTATTGTTTTACCATTTATGAATTCCTAGATGGATTTAGGACAAGACCAAAGAATTTGGCCAATGCAAAATCAGGCCCTACCGAAAACAAAACAAAACAAAACAAAACAAAACAAAACAAAACAAAAACACACCCAAACAACCAAGATTTTCAAAATCTGGACATGGCCTTTGGAAACCTCTTAAACAGGTATCATTATGACCATCCATCCACTCTGTTAAAACATTTCTGTCAGCTTTCAAAGTACAATTATTTCCCTTGGAATTGTTCAAGTCTTTCTTCTTCAAAAGAGAGTCAGAGTTAGTACAAACTAACAAGGCCAGTCACGTCTTTGGGGAAAATCTGCCAGGGCATCAGGCTGAGGCAAACTTGCCAAGACTCGGAGAGAAGCCACAGCAGGTCTGGGATGTGCGCAGCCTGTGGAGAGGGTGCTCATATGATTAAGGTCTTCGAAGAAAGGCTATTTCTGTCAGTGCTGCTACACCCAGTGGTCCAAAGGAGAGCTCAGGCATTCTAACTTCCCAGCAGAAAAGAAACAAAGGCATAGGCTTTGGGGAGAGAAGACAGAAGCAGAGGCAAGAATCGCCCAGGGGGCAGTTAAGGAGAGACAGATAAAGAGCGGATAAGGTGGTAAACGTAAGTGGAGAGACACCAGGAGATGTCAAGAATCTATTCTAGTGAAGTTTGGTTAAGTTAGAGTAAACTTGTCACCATTTACTTCCCAACTACAGTACTGTATTGATCTAAGACATCATTGTCTATAAGAGACATCCCAATTTAAGAAATGTCAAAATGAGAGTAAGTGTGAATCTCAGAATTGATGATTTGGCAGTAATTCTTTCCCTGGACTGAGATGGCTTTTAAGAACTCATACGCTACTAAGAAGAATCTTAGGATTCTGTCTGCTTTCAAATCATTTCCCCAAGCCAACCCTCAATTCTTAAGCACCACTGGGTCTGAAATGAGCAACAATTCAGCAACAGTATTAACAGCAGAACTCAGTATGAAGAATCAGTTGCTATTTCAGCAACTATTTACACATGCTTAGTCTTTGAATTTTCTGCAGCAAAAAAGAATTTCCCAAGCAAATCCATCTTCTTAGAGAGACACAGGTCTCACTGAGGCAGCTGAGTCACTGGCGCTTTACTACTGGTGACAACTGATCTGAACTACAGAGTCCAGGGAGGGGACCTCTCCTTGTTCAGCCAAGACATTCATTCTGGCTACTCCGTTCTCTCTTCATCCCCTCAGAAATGCTTCCAGTGACACCAAAACCCTGAAAAGATGAATTCCTCAAAAGACAACTGATGAAACAAAAAATTTAAACCCTAAATTTTCCAGGCAAATCTCAGCCTTGAGACTGTCCCTCCCATATTGCCTTCCTAAATCTACAACATTAAATATAAAATGAACAGAGCAGAATCCCAAACATTTTGTCTTTGAAAAGAACTTCATTAGGTGGAGAACTATAAAAACAACTTTTACCTTTGACTGTTCCTCATCTATTGAAGATTCTTCAGACGCATGGGGAGTATTACTCAAAGAGCTGCTTCTCTGGTCATCAGCTGTCACTTCAGAAGGGGCTACTTCTACCACTGACAGTCGGCAGCTTTCACTCCTTCCTCCGCTCAATTCCTCCATCCTTGAGTGGGAAAAAGACTGGGACCGGGTTTCTTGGGAAAGCTCTACAAACTTCTCTAGGGCACTAAAAAAATCAATGCGATCTGTGCTGAAATCTGAGACTTCAGCCTGGCAACTGGGCTGGGGGCTCGGTGACTCAGGGTCAGGGGACATGGGGAGGTCTTTTAGTCGAGATGTCAATTCTTCCATTGGCAGTAAGTGGACGTTCATGTCTGCTTTCAGTGCGTCTGTCTCCAAATCTTCCACTGTTAAGTCTGGAAACTCATTGGCCATTTCTGGGGCCTGTCCAGGTTGGATTAAGGCTTTGGATGCATGGCAGTTGTCAAGAGGGAATTTTGATTCATTCAGACAACATCCTGATGAGCATCCATTGATGTCATTTAGGTTTAATTCATCTTCGATCTGTCCAGCATGAAATTCCCTAGAAGTAAACTCCAAGCAGATCATTCTTTCTTTGGTACACAGGCCTTTCTGATTTGTATCTTGTGGGACCACGTGTTCCACAAAGACGGGAGGTATGGGTGGGTGGCTCTCCATGGTCTTCACCTCGGCAATCTGGTCAGCTGAGGTGGTGATCTCCTTCTTGTTGAGTTCTAGCCCTGGTTTGCAGATGGGCTCGTGGTGGTCTGAGAGGTCACTATCTGAATGAGATCTCCAGAGCTTGTTATGCCGTTGTTTGCTGTGGAGGAGATACACAAGAAATGCCTTACTCTGGTTTGTGAAAACAATCAGCACCCTCCCAGGAAATCGCTCCCAAATAAACTTAAATCTTAACCCTCAAAGTGCTTTGTTAATGCCCAGTGGAACTAGACAATAAATATTTGAAAAGATGCTCAATTTAACTAATAACAAAACAAAATAAACCAACAAAAACAAATTAACATGAGATCTGAGTTTTTCACCTATCAGACAGACTGACAGGAGTTACAGTGATTGGTGACAGCCAGTGTTGATAATGGTGTGACCAAACAAACTTGCTCATACACTGTTGGTGGCAATGTGAACTGCAGAACTTTTAAAAAAGCAATCTGGCAAGAGCTCTCAAAATTTAAGAATTTTTCTTGGAGAAAAATGCACAAAGATACACATATAAAGAAGTTATTGCAAAACTGTTTGTAACAGTAAAAAATTAGGCACACACAAAAAAGAATTTATGTAAATTACAGTTCACACAACTATATGCTATGAAGCTGTTAAAAATAGTTAGGTATTTTAGTGGAATGGAAAAGCATGTTGAAAACACTTGGAATGTTCTGTTCCCATGTTAGAATAAGTGAAGGAAAAAATTGGGGGAATATTACCAAACTGGTAATAGTGTTTTTTTTTTCTTTCAGAAAAGGCAGAAATACCAGGGGCTTTTACTTTCTAGACTCTATATTTCTATGATCTTTTAATTTTTAAAATAATAAGCATCTTTAACCTTTATAATCAGAAAAAAAAATCCCCACAATCAAAACAAAAGACAAGTAATACAAAAGGAAATACTCTATTGGAGCCCATTACCAACTCCTCATAATGAAGAGCTGATACAGGATAATGGCTGACATAGGGGTATGAGGAGATTGGTGATCATCGTTGAACTGGAATGCAAAGATGGGCCTGTAAATCTAGAAAGAAAGCTCAGTAACAGAATGGAAGAGGATAAGCATAAAGTACAGGTGTTTTTTAAAAAGGATCTTTGGCTAAAAACCATCAAGCTAAGCGGACGCCTGGAAAAGCAGGTGGGTTCTTCAGAGACATTATACCTCCTTTTTTTCTAATGTCTTTTGGTTTATTTTATACTCTTGTTCCTTTTATCCGTTGGTTTATTTTATGGACAGAAGGTCTGATGTCGGAATGAGATAGCATAATTTTTTTTACTTGTTCTTTAGATGAAGGTTTACAGAACAGATAGTTTCTCATTAAACAGTTTGTACACATAACTGCTTTATGACATTGGTTAACAACCCCACAACACCTCAACACTGTCCCTTCTTGACCTTGTGTTCCCTACTACCAGCTTTCCTGTACCCTCCTGCCTTCTAGTCCCTTGTCCCTGAGCTGTTATGCCCCTTTAGTCTCGTTTTGTTTTATGGGACTGTCTAATCTTTGGCTGAAGGGATGAGATAGCATTTTAAACTACATATTCTAACAAGGAAGCACAGTTACCCAACCAAACTAAACCTGTTGCCATCAAGTTGATTCCAACTCATAGTGACCCTACAGCACAGAGCAGAACTGCCCCACAGGGTTTCCAAAGCTGTAAGTGTTTACAGGAAGCAGACTGCCACATCTTTCTCCCAGTGCAGCTGGTAGGTTTGAACCACCGACCTTTCGGTCAGCAGCAAGTGCTTAAGCCACTGCGCCACCAGAGCTCCTCAGTTACCCAAAGCCCCAGCCAAAAAGAGAAAGGTGGCCCTGTGGCTGGTAAGGACCACCTGCCAAGGGAACAGGTCACTAAGAGTAGTGCTTGGGGGTGTGGTCTCTATTACTTACAAGCTGATGAGGAGTTACCTAACTGCAGGGTGAAATGGGAAACAGCCCAAAACAACTTGCCCCTGGGCTCAAGGCCACGCCCACCTCTGCTGCCTATGAATCTCTGCCGAGTCATGCGCCTGCACTAATGTGAACCCCTGTTTGTTCTCAACTCTGCACCTGCTCTCAGCCTGTCTGCTGCTTGGGTGGGGCTCTCTCTGACTCAGGCCTGCAAAGCAGGGGGGTGCTTTCCTAAGCAGGGACCAGGTCCATGTGTTTATGAAAACAAGCTGTAATCAATCAGCTGGGTGTAAAGGTGGGGTTTTCACGCTTTCCAAGCTGCATGAACTCCAGTCACCCCTAGGAGGAGACAACATATCACACATCCCAAACAAGTGAGTGGCTGTGGGAAGGGGCAGGCTGACTGTTTGGATCTGTTGGGCCTAAACTGTACCACTGTGACCAACCAAGGATTGCCAGTAGTCTTCCTTTTAAAGTTTCCCCTCTTATGTTGTGACACACCCATTCCTTGCCCTAGCTATGACTGTGTCCTCCAATTTCTATCCCTCACTATCATGAAGATGTTCAAACCTGCACCCACTCCTCTCACCCACCATGGGGGGATAATTCCTGTGACACAAATGGCTGGGAAAGAAGTCTCAGGGGGTAGCTCTGCTCTTCTCACCCTTCTAATACTACAGAAGAACAGCTTATCGGTTAACAAGCAAATGGGATGTGTTCATGATCCCAAGAACCCTCCAAAGGCTGATTTTTTTTACTGCCTGAAAATCACTGATCAATCAGGAGGCAATGAGAAACTGAAGTTATGCTAACAGGCACACATGGTGCAGGTTTCAAAGGAAGTGGCTGCTGACATCATAGCTGTGCTACCCAGCAGGGACTTCCTTCTCTTCCTGGGGAAGATAATCATCAGAAAACACTGGGTTGGGGCTCTAGAATTAAACTGACACCTATCTGTAATGGGGGAAGAAAAAACTGCACATCCAAAGATGGGTCGGATAGTGCCTCATTTTTCATGTATGCAATAGGACCTGCAAGGCGAGTGGTAGGCAGCTCCCTCGTATACTGAAGATCTTCATTACCATTGCCTTTGAAGCGCTGCCATGCGACGTGTCCCTTCCTAATTTCCTCCCTCCTCAGAGGTAACCTACGTCCTGAATTTTGTACGTATCATTCCTTTTCTTTATAGTGGTACCACGTTTTTGTTCTTAACAATATACTATATACTACTTAGTTTTGCATGTTTTGAACATGTAAATAAAATCCTACTGTATGTATTCTTCTACAACTGTTTTTTTTGCCTAACATTATACTTTTGAGATTCATTGATATGTGTGGCTGTAATTATACACTGGGGTGAATATGCCACAATTTATTCATCCATTTACCCAATAACAGGGTTGGCTATTACAAACAACACTGCCATGAACATTCTTAGTCTCTCAAAGGTGTTTTATCTATAGAAGTAGAAAAGGGGGGTTATAAGGTATGTGTGCATCATTAATTTTCTTAGTGACACCAAAGTGTTTTCCAATGAAGCCTTTTTCCAAGTCAGTTTATTCTAATGCTACTTTAATTGGGATAGATGTAAGACATCAGATTGCATCTATTATTTTAACTGCTAATTTTTAAGTCCAGCTGACTCCTCCATCTATTCTAGGTAGGCAGTGAGTAAACAAGATGCCAGAAAATAACTTCAGAGTTGGTCTGTGGCCTAGATGATGTAATCAAGTCTCAGGTTCTTTTTCCCCCTTGAGTGGCCTCTGACCTGAATCTGGATTTACATAAACACACAGATATGTATGAGATGACTGGGACATTCTGGGTAAGAATTTGGCCTTTTACTTAATAAATGAACAATAAGGAAATTTAAATGACAGGTGCATATGGTACCCCATTCTCTTGCCTCCACTTTCTTGCTCTTTTATGTTCAGTGAAGCATCAACTCTGTTTGAGAAAGTTATACAGTCACGCGTCACTTAACATCCATGACACATTCTGTGAAAACAGGATGTTATGTGATTTGGATGTTGTGCGAACTTGCCTAAATTGTGAGCAACAGCATTCACCGATTTTCCACCTTCATTTTGTTTAACAACCTTTTGTTTCACTTCCAAATCGATAACTTCTCCTTTGCCTCTTGCTGCTGCTATCCCTAGCACTGATTTTGTTGCGTTTGGGAGCCATGATGCACTTCATGGTAATATTTTCAAAGAAAATTAAACAGAGAGATAATGCTACAATACTCGAGATGCATGATACACGAGATTGGATGCTGTTGCCTACGAGTCGAACCATACACTGTTGTATGGTAAACTTTTTAAGTAGGGAAAGTTCACATTAAAATAACAATACAAAGTACAGTATAGTACATACATAAGCCAGTAACAGACGTTTATGACTACCAAGACATACATGTTATAGGTTAAATATGTACCGTACCATTATACGCCTGGCAGCACAATAACTTTGTATACAAGAGACATGAGATACATGTGTTGCATGCGGGAAGCTGTTGTGTTCACTACATCCAGTTACGTCTGCTTATGTCTAGTTCTCTGATTGGGATTTGTGAACTCTATTATAACTTTATGGGACTACGGACATACATGTGGTTGGATGTTGCCCAAATGGACGTTATGCAGCACATGACTGTACAGAGGAAAACAAAGGTAAAAATGGAGTATCGGTTACAATAAAATCGGATTGTTTACGGCTATTCTTAAGATATTAGGCAGCCTGTAGAAATGGGAGAGAACATTAATTGAGCATTTTCTATGTGCTGTGTATGGTCCCAGATGCCTTAAAGTTATTTCAGTGAAAAGCTGTTAGGAAGACCCTTTAAACCACAATTTTACTTGGCTGTCACCTGATAAGAAATCTACCTCACTCTTGGGTTCCCTGCTGCTGGCTGACCACTGTGCACAAGCTAATTAGACTTCAATGTCCCCACCAGCAAAGCGGGGCTAAAAGACAACTCTGTCTCTTCCTGTCCTGGAGACAGGGGCATTCAAAGAATAAAAAATGACATCTGTGAGGACATGTGGCATGAACTCTCCGTGGCCACCACCCAGTTTTTCTTCCATGCCCCCTATACACTGGAATCTGATACCACGGACACATGGTCCAGCTTGCCAATGGTCTGCCTGAAATCTGAGCCTGTCTAATGGAACACAAATCTGCCAGATACCTGCATGATCTGAGTGCGGAATAACAAACAGGGCTGCTGGCAGTTTAAGAGAGTTTCAAAACACACACACACACCATTCTCCCCACTCCTGCCTCACTCCCACCCCCTAGTTGTAAAAACAAAAACAAAAACAAAATAAAAGCAGATATGAACAATATCAGTAATTCTGTAATACCCCCCATTTTAGGTCTAAAGTGGAATATTAAATATTAGCCTTCTTTCCCAGGCTATTAATGACATACTGAAAGATATAAAAAGTCCTTGTATTGTCACTGTTCAGCCCACACCATCATACTCTGATTAAGAGATGTTGCTGTTGGTTGCCACTGAGTAGATTCTGACTCACAGCAACCCCGTATGTGCAGAGCAGAACTGCTCCATAGGGTTTTCAAGGCTGTGACCTTTTGGAAGCGGATCACCAGGTCTGTCTTCTGAGACGCCTCTGGGTGGGTTCCAACTGCCAACTTTTTGGCTAGTAGTTTTTGCTACCCAGGGTTTCTGTGATTAAAAGATAGTCACCAATTTATAAATTACTGCAGGAAGCTAGTGTCACTTCAGTCAATTTCTCTTCTACTAAGAGGTAAAAGCACTAAGCTTAAACAGAGTTGCCACCTCAAGTGAAGCACCCAGTGCCCCCTTGAATAACCATGGGACTGGAGAATGTCAGGATCACTACTACACAGAAAACTATCACATGCCTCCTGGGAGAAGATATGAAATACAAGATCTGAGCAAGTGTCCTGCAATGAGATTGAGTGGGAGTTTTCTAAGGACCTTTCTTTCCTGGTCATCTATGTTGCAAGCCCCAGGAGCTGGGGCTTCTCTTTCTTTGGTCTTCTAAGCAGGCAGGCCCAGAGCAGCACTCGGGCTGGCCAAGGGTCTGCTGGGCCCAATCTACCTGGCAGCTGGCTTGGCAGGTAGCCTACAAGTACCAAGGTTTTTTGACAACACACTGTAGACTGCAGACCCTAATGGCTGTATATCTGAGGTACTTCCAACTCTTTTTCCTTACTGGCAGAGGGGCCTGATTTGGTTTGGGTAATTCTCTAGCCCCAGAGGTTGAACAGGAATTTTGTTCTAGCCAGTCTTAGAAATTCTATTTCTCTGGTCAGGGACTGTTTTTATGCATATGATCCAATCCTTGCCAATGGGTTTTGAGGGGAAGTCCGCTAGGGGAATTCTGGGAGAGGTCTTCTTCCCTAATTAAAATACTCCTTTTCTTTAGCCAGATGCTGTAGATTTATATGTAGATGCCTAGGCTGGTTTTGTCCCTTGACTGAAGATATGACTCCTTTCTGAAGGTGTCTTTCTCTACAGGATTCTTTTTCCAGGTTCTCGTAACTGCTCCCTCCCCTCCTTGGGCCTAGGAGTGGTAAAAGCTCTGCTGATACTAGTCCCTTGGGAGTCTACTACAACCCTACACCTTTGTAAATGGCCCCTTTATTAAGCCCTCCTCAAATATCCCTGATTTGAGCATGCCATATGTTTCTTGTTGAGATCCATGCTGATGCAGGTTATCTTATAACTTGAAGCCAAAAGCAGCCTAAGTGATACTCCTAGCACTAAATTCTAGCTCCTAAAAGCCAGAAAACATCACTACACAGGGAATTTCAAGGCTACTTCCCATCCCAGTTTCTAATGAAGTTACCGTGTCTATGGGTGGTGGGAGGCAGTGGTTGACGTCAAGGAGGAGGAAATAAACGGCACATGTATATATGTGTGTGGAGCCTTGGTGGCATAGTGGTTAAGCACTATGGCTGCTAACCAAAAAGGTCAGCAGTTCGAATCTACCAACTGCTCCTTGGAAACCCTCTGGGGCAGTTCTACTCTGTCCTATAGGGTCACTAAAAGTTGCCATTGATGGCAATTTTTTTTTTTTAATGGGTGTATGTGTATTTTCTGGGTAGCCTCCAAAGGCTACCCTTTACATCTGAATAATCCTTAACAGTACATAATATACGTTTATATACATTTTTATTTACGATAATCCTGTGAGATAGGTCACTTGATTTTCATTTTACAGATGGGGTCAGGTCAGGATCAGAAATGAGAAGTAACTTATTCAAGGTTGCAGCAAGGGGTCAAACAGGAATGGGAACCAGATCTATTAACTCAAATTCTGTGGTTTTCTCACTCCCCAGGGCCTGCCCCTCCCTCCATGAATCAAGCACAGGAGGCAGGATGGAACGGAAAAGAAAGGGAAATGGAAGAGGAAGGGTGATCTGTGGGTTTTTGCTGCCCTTCTTATTCTTATCTAAGATTTTTCTGAAATTCCTTTAACATCTAAGAAAAACCATATACACTTAAAAAATCCAACTCAACAGCTTGCAGTAGCCTGGGATTCCAGAATAAATACTGAAATTGGCAGGACACATAGTATCCTTCCTCTCCATGGGTCACGTGAGGACACTGCCTAACATCCATCATGTGTGTGTCTGGGAATATATAATATTTATGTCTCATCAAACCCTCAGATGCCTTTCTTCTGCCAAAAAGAACTGCTGTGTCCTACCTTCTGATCTAATCTAAAAATGTCATCAAAATCTGGCCCTAAAGACCTATAAATTGTTTTTAAGCAGAGGAGGCTTGAGTATCCTTCCAGCCTCCTAAGAGAACAGCTCAGATGAAATCATGCCAAGTACTGAGTAAATGGGTGGGATTTTTTTTTTTTTTTTTTAGTGGAAACCATAATGCTATGCTGTGGCCACATTTTCACAATACTTCAGGGGTGGGAGGGTGGTCCTTCTGCCTGGATAGGCTGGAAAGCTATTTAACATTTTGTTCAAGGGAAACACAGCCCAGATTCAAGAGTCAAGACCAAGTCATGAGACTCACTGGAGTCAAACCCTGGCACCAGCCCCAACTGCTTCTAGGCAGCTGTGCCTTTGCCCTAACAAAACCACCTAGAACATGTCTACATGGAAAAAACAAAGCAAAATCTAGCACATCCCAGGAAAACTGATCCTTAAATCCAGTTTAATCTCTGAATCTTGTTCCCGAGGGCGACTGAAGGTGGCTTTCATCACCACAGGAGTAATAATCAATGCACTAATTACTCATTTTATAACCAATTACCAAATTATTGTTGTTGAAAACATCTGATTCCTAGTGATACAGGAAGCTGTCAAGGCCTAGTATTGTGTAGAGAGACAAGCTGCAGAATAACTTTTGTGAAAACAAATCATCAATACAGGTGATGAAGTAAGACCTGGAGAAACAGGTAAAGTAATGTTGACTGTTGTCTGTGGGCGCTGAGCTTAGAAATGATACTTTCCCTTTGTATTTGCTGCCTTTTTGCAAAGCATATATGTAAAACTGGTTAATAAGACTTTTAAAAAGAAAACAAAAAACAGTTGTTTCTGGGAAGTACCTTCATACTTCAAATGGGTTATATACATCCCAATTCTACTGATCTGTCACATGACCAGAAATACCTGAAAGGAATACCCAAAGAAGCCCGTATTTTTTAATTTTTTTTTAAGAATAGGTCAAAGAATTTCCAAGAATTTCAGTGAGCCTAGCATTACCTTGCAATGGGTTTTTTAGCATTAGCTTGGAATAATAGGTATGCATTTTGATAAGGTAGTTGCATCTGGCCTTATAAGATACTCAGAAGTGTTTATTAAAATCTGCCCCTAGTTGAGAACTGAAGTAAACAGTATTTTCACCCTTTAGTTTAATTATACCAACTTGCAACTTGGAAGATTAAATGCTTAATTTTCCATGCTAATCTTTTTTAAAAAAAAGTTTTTGGTGAAAATACACAGAACAAGACACATCCATTCACTGTTCTTTACACGTACAGCCCCACGACACTGGCTGCATCCTGCGCACTGTGTCACCATTCTCGCCATTTACCCATATCGTCTCACCACCGAGTCAAGACTCTCTGTCCCTCCGTGTTTTAAAGTTGCTGTCGTCAATTTGATCTCATACAGATACTTCTTTAAAAGAGCTTACGGCTCAAAGCGAACATTCCTTACTAGTTAGTTGTTTAAAGATGTCTTCATGGGTCCACACAAATCTTAAATGTTTATACCTATTTTTTTAAAAATAGGATTGATAAAGGAATAAGTCAATTTTTAAAAAAAACACCAGGTCCAAATTAGGTTGGAAACTAGCTGCCGAAAAGGACATTTCAACTTGCCTTGAGGAGTCTTGAAGAAGGAGGGAAAATTTGAGAAAGTCACATAAATACTCACCTTGCCAGCAAGATCCCCTGGTACTCCTCCAGTTGTCTCATGAAGCTGGGGTTGGGCTTGGTCACGGTTCGTCTTTCCTTCACATAGTCATAGGCTCGGTCTAGATTCCAGCCATATTCCTTCATTGCATAGGCAATCACAGTGGAGGCTGAGCGACTCACCCCCATCTTGCAGTGCACAAGGCATTTAGATCCGTGTTTCCTAGTTTAGGGGATCAAGGTAGAGATCAAGGAAAAAACAATAGTGAGTATATTTTAAAAGCTGGGCTCTAAATTTTTCAAAGTCTCCTGTCTTGCCCTTCCATTTTCTTGCTATGCAACAGCCCCCCGCCCCGCCCCCTCAGAGCCCCAGGGGCATGTTTCATGGCTGGCACTCTCTTGAGTTACGGGTGTGGCAGTGATTCATCTAATTTATTCAAATGTTCTGAGTTGCTTCCAGTTCAAGTTCCAGTAAGGGTTCTGTTCCTGGAGGAAAGCACAAACCAAATGAAACTAAGCCTCCTTTCTACTCAGATGTAGCCCTGGATATTATTTTTCACAACACCACCACCAGTGTCCTATCTAGGGACTGGCTATATAACCTGTGGAGTCGGATACGAGCATGTGATACACCGCATGGCTTTCTCAGTGATGAGAACAGAATGAATGAGAACTGCTTGTTGTTGCCACTGTTTTCTTGTTTGTTTTTGTTTTTAATGAGGAGGAAGAAAAAGAAAGCAAAGCTACTCCCTAAAAATAAAAAGCCCAAAACAAACCCCCCCAGTCTGAACATGCCAGAGCTCATTACCTTGGATGTGAACATTATTCAGTTATGTTAATTCTGCTAATAACAGTGTCTGGCACATAGTAGGCCTTCAAATATTTGCTGAATTATGAACAACCTTACGGACTTGCTGATTAATTTAAGCTACCAGCTGCTTAAGTAGAATAGTAGTTTAAAATCTGGAAAGGAACTGTTACTCTTATCACTAGTGACACAGGCTCTGGAATCCTTCCAAGTGGCTATTCCAGTAAGTCAAAAAATGCACAAGTCAGCATAACAGGGAAAATCTTCTATCTGTTCACTCACTCACTGTATGATGGTAGACAAGATATAAACCTGTTGCTGGAAAAACAGACACACGAAAGAGTTAAGTATCAATGTAAGGAGGTATGAGGTTAAGTGCCAAGGTGAGCGAACCAGATAAGCTACAGGAATGCAGAGAACAGACTGGAATAACTGAAGCAGTCCCAAAGGAAAGGTAAGATTAACCTCCTACCTATCGACTAGATATAAAATTTTGGTGTCCTAAGTGTGGAGCCCTGGTGGCGTATTAGTTAAGAACTCAGCTGCTAACCAAAAGGTCTGCAGTTCAAATCCACCAGCCGCTCCTTGGAAACGCTATGGGGCACTTCTACTCTGTTCTATAGGGTGGCTATGAGTTGGAATCGACTCGATGGCATCTAACAACAACAACAAGGCTGGGGTGGGTGTGTGTCTCTGTGTGCTTAGATTATCCCAAATGGCTAGGAAATAAATACTTGCTTTGTTTCTGGCATCATAGGGTTTTCATTTAGACTACAGTCAGGAAGCCAATGCAGAGTGACTTAGATGGAAGCTTAGATGTGTGCTCTATATTTTCCCTTCAAGCTCTGACAACTTTAATGCATCACATTTCAGGATTATGCCTATAGGCATGGAAGGTGCTCAAACTTGGACAACCCTAAGAAAAATACAATTATAAAATTCATTACCATGAAAACTCTTCAGCATATTCTGAACTGAGCTTTTCAGTGATGTCTAACTCATGCAGTGAAGGATCTGAAGTTAGTTCTTACCTAACCTAATTCCACCCTTTCAGGTTAAGCAAGCTTGACATCACTTAGGAATCCTAAACCCATCTATAGGTAGGGTCTGGATTTCAGGGTTCTGATTAGGGTCAGACAGTCGAGGTACACAGGGTGCAAGATTTAAGGAAGTACTCACTCTCAGACTTGCGCAAGTGTAGCTCAGCACATGAGAGTGAGCTCCTCCTTAAATGTTGTATCCTGGGTGCCTCACTTGAGCCCTAATCACAGCCTGCTGAAATTAGCCTTTCTTTTCACTGGGACTGGGGCCTCACCTTGAACTCTAGCCTCTTTGGCTGGGACTGTGACAACTGGCCTAACCTTTTCTAGTCCCCTTCCCTCAGGACACTAGACTACTCCTGAATACTTGATGTACTCTGAAGTAAGACACGATCTTACGTTCAAGTCCTATCTTCACACTTGTTACTTAACCCCTCTGAACCTCATCTGTACAGGAGGATGACACTATCTGTCTGAGTTCTGGAAAAGTCTACATGTGATAGATAATACATGTAAAGTGGCTGGTGCACAGTGAGCAAGCCATGAAAGGTACTATTATTATGGGGAGTAATTTAATAATAGGCTTCAAGAATATAAAATGCTCTTTCGGGTGCTAGTTAGAGACTGAAGGAATGGGCTCAAGACAGAGTATGAGAGTTCAAGGTAACTAAAAGAAAAAATTTCCTGACCATGAAGGATTCTTAAGAGAACTGTAGAATCATTCCTGAAGGAAGATTTAAAAAAAACAGAAGTGCTTCTCATGTGCCAGGGATGGTTTCAATGTGGTCCTCCCTGAACAGGGAGCATGGCCAAGGTGCTCATTTATGGTTCCTTTTAGTGATAGGGTGGGCAAAAAAATCCCTAGGGCCTTAAAAAAATGCAGTGGTGACATACTAATACTATTTAGTATTAATTTAACTATTTAGTTAACACTAAAAGGGCCAATTAAGACATCAACAGAAAACTCAGAGAAAAATTTCACCATTTAGAATATCATAAAAATACAGCCAAAGAATGGGAAAAGATTTCCAAAGCTTACTCAGTCTCTCTCCTTGTCTTCAAAGAGGAGGGCATACCATACCACCCTTCTGGAATAATTTCTATTACATAACTTTCAAATCTCCCCACTGGCACTTAAGAATTTCATTCAGAACCACTACTCTCATTTCTGTTTCTCTTGCTGCAGCTGAAGCCTATTATGTTCAAAGGAAATAGCCAACATGTGGTCATATTCGTCAAGTGGCTTCAGTTACTTAAAGGAAAAGTACTGAGTCACTAGTCTTCTTTCCCCTAGAATTAAAAAAATCTCAGATTCATTTTTTTCTTTACTTCCTTTTTCCTGAGTACTATCAATAAGTTATCTATAGTCAGCAGGCCGCAGCCATGGGTGGTATACAGGAACAGAGGCCAGAATGTGTGTGTGGGACCACGCTACTCACTTTGCTTTAGAGATGAATTTGTAAGTGTCATTCCAGTAGGCCAGGAGATCTGTTGCCTCTTCATCATATACCCGGATGTTATGGTACTCAAAGACTCCTGGGAAAAAGTTATCTATCTCTCGAGTGACATTCAAGATATACCGCACCCTGCAAGGAAAACAAGGGAGCATATGTGCTCTACTGTTTAGGCTAAATTCAATTCCCAGCGCTGCTTTGCTTATTTAAAACTAGTTTACATCCTAGGTGGAAATAAAATACCAAAATAATGAAGAAAGCTAAAGAACTAAGAGGATATACTTATTTAGTATGAAGACTGTGTAACAGAGTTTTGGGTACACCTGGGCACCAGGGAGTTACTGAGAGAAAAGCTTTTTGCCAAGTTCAACATCTAAATTCCATTTTCAGTTTATGTATTGTTACACAGTCTCATCCTTGATAGTTTCTTGATAACATGCCTCATATTTTACTCTAAAGAATCAACCCGAGGCTCATAATCTGACAATTTCTCTGTCACTAAAATTACCAGCAATGTAATTTGTTTTTTGGAAGTCATTTGTATAAAATCAGACTCCTGACATGTCCCTCAAAAAAAAAAAAAACTTCATACCTTTCTAATTGTCAAGATTGTCAGACTTTGCTTTATTACTTTCTCTAAACTACACTGAAGGCAAATGAGGCCAGGGCTGGGAGGGTAAGAGGAAAGTTGGACTTAAAACTCTCTTAACCTCTCAACTTTATCTGGCTGCATTCCTGGCTGCTATGGCAGCAGATGTGTCTGAGGGCTCTCCCATACCGAGATGCTTGCAGAACAGAGTTTCTGTATCAGAAATTCCTCCTGCTCTCTCTCTCACCAGGAGCCCTGGTGGTGTAGTGGTTAAAACACTCGGTTGCTAACCAAAAGGTCAGCGGTTCAAACCCACCAGCTGCTCTGTGGGAGAAATATGTGGCAATCTGCTTTCGTAAAGATTTATAGCTTTGGAAACCCTACGGGGTAGTTCTATTCTGTTCCGTAGGGTTGTTGTAAGTTGGAATTGACTCAATGGCAGTGGGTTTCTCTCTCACTGCACAATTTCAGTAAATACTTGGGTTTAATTTACCAATGGGTTGTCTTTTCTCAATGCTGTGTGGACTTAGACATCACTGAGGTTATTCAACAATACAACACAGACTCACTCATTTCTCTCTGCAGAAGCTACTTCTTTCTCAAAACCACACATGGAGTTCTATAAATCCAATCTCTGAAGTAAAAAAAATCACCTCAGAAAGAGCCATACCTAGCCAACTATGAGGTTAAGGTCAGGTGGCCAAAATTTTTCTGAAACATGATTTGAATCTGTTTTAACTTAGCATCAAAGCCCATTACTAGAAAGGATTTTTTTTTTTTTTTTTTTTAATTTAAGAAGCAAGCACATCATGAGACTGTAAAATGGTGCAGCTGCTTTGAAAAGCAGTCTGGTAGCTCCCCAAAAGGTTAAACATAGAGTTATCATATGACCCAGCAATTCCACTCCTAGGTATCTACTCAAGAGAAATGAAAACATGTGCACATAAAATCTTATACACAAATGTTCAAAGCAACATTATTTGTAACAGCCAAAAAGTAGAAACAACCCAAATGCCCATCAAATGATGAGAAGATAAATAAAATGTGGCAGATCCATACAATGGAATATTATTTGGTAATAAAAAAGGAACGACATACCAATACATACTATGATGTGAATAAACGTTGAAAACATGTTAAGTCAAAGTCAGTTTGAAAAGACCACATATTAAACGATTTCATTTATATGAAGTGTTCAAATAGGCAAATCTACAGCGAAAGAAAGTCAATTAGTGGTTGTCAGGGGCGGAGGAGGAAGGAGGAAATGGGGGTGACTGCTAAAGGGTACAAATTTTCTTTTTTGGGTAAAGAAAATGTTCTAAATTGATTGTGGTGATGGTTGCATAATTCTGTGAATATACTAAGAGCCACTGAAATGTATACTTTAAATGGGTGAACTGTGAATTATATGTCAATAAAACCATTACCACTCAAAAAAGGCAAGCACATTTCTCTTACTTTATTTAAAATAAAAACAAATAACAGCCCCCCCCAACCCCATACTTCAGTAATGGATATGGCATTTTCTCTCTGGAGACAGCACAGGGCTTTCCAACTGTTTTCATTACAGAACTCTGGGCAGCCATTGCCTATTGGAATTGGCACGCCTTGAAATTTCTTTGCCATCTCAACACTAAGTGACTCAACACTGAGTAGCACTTTACTTGGGGTTAGATTCTAAAGTCAGTAAATTGGGTGCCAATGGCCGTGTTGTCAAATTACACTTAAAAAGCCCTCAAACCATCCACAGTATATTCTTTTTAAAAAAAATTACATTTATTTTATTGTTGTTTTTGAGAATATACACAGCAAAACATACACCAATTCAACAGTTTCTACATGTACCATTTAGTGACACTGACGACATTCTTCGAGTTGTACAATTGTACAATCGTTCTCACCCTCCTTTTCTGAGTTTGTTCCTGCCCCATTAACATAAATTCACTGTCCCCTAAGGTTCCTATCTAATCTTTCAAGTTGCTGCTGTCAATTTGATCCCATATACTTTTAAAAGAGCGTAATGCTCAAGGCAGACATTTTTTACTAGTTAAGCTAAACTACTCTTTGGTTTTAAGACTTCAGGGGATAGTTCTGCTTTAAGGTTTAAAGATTATCTCAGGGCAGTAGTTTCAGGGGTTCATCAATGCCCCTGGAAGCAGCAGTCAAGAAATCAAACGTGTATTCCATTGGGTAAATCTTCAGCAAAGATCTCTTTAAAGTGTTAAAGAGCAAAGATGTCACTTTGAGGACTAAGATGCACCTGTTCCGAGCCATGGTATTTTCAATTGCTTCATATGCATATGCTGGACAATGAAAAAAGAAGATTCAAGTAGAACAGACGTCTTTGAATTACGATGTTGGCGAAGAATATTGAATATACCATGGACTGCCAGAAGAATGAACAAATCTGTTTTGGAAGAAGTACAGTCAGAATGCTGTACTTGTGAGGATGGCAAGACGTCTTGTGTACTTTGGACATGTTATCAGCAGGGGCCAGTCCCTGGAGAAGGACATCATGCTTGGTAAAGTGGAGAGTCAGCGGAAGAGAGGAAGACCCTCAACAAGATGGACTGACACAGTGGCTGCAAGCACAGCAATGACTGTGAGGGTGATGCAGGACTGAGAAGTGTTTTGTTCTGTTGTACACAGGGTCCCTATGAGTTGGAACTGACTCAACAGCACGTAACAACAACAACATTGTTTCGTTTTAAGAAGACTCCAGGGGATATTTTTGGTTTAAGGTTTCAAGACTGTCTCAGGGTAATAGTTTCAGTGGTTCATCCAACCTTCATGGTTGCAGGAAGTCTGGAGTCCATGAGAATTAGAAATTCTGTTTTGTATTTCCCTCCCTTTGAATAGGATTCTTCTATGGAATCTTTGATCAAAGTGTTCAGTAATGGAATTAGCCAGTCGCAAAAAGACAAATATTGTATGAGACCACTATTACAAGAACTCAAGAAAAGGTTTAAACACAAAAGAAATCATTCTTTCATGGTTACCAGGGTGGGGAGGGAGGGAGAGGGGAATTCACCAACTAGATAGCAGACAAGAATTATCTCAGGTGAAGGGAAGGACAACACATAATACAGGGGAAGTTGGCACAACTGGACTGAACCAAAAGCTAAGACGTTTCCTGAATATAACCAAACACTTCGAGGGACAGAGTAGCAGCGGTGGGGGTCTGGGGACCATGGTTTCGGGTGACATCTAGGTCAACTGGCATAACAAAGTTTATTAAGAAAATGTTCTGCATCTCACTTTGGTGAGTGGCATCTGGGGTCTTAAAAGCTAGTGAGCGGCCATCTAAGACACATCAATTGGTCCCAACCTACCTGGAGCAAAGGAGAATGAAGAACACCAAAGACACAAGGAAAATACTAGCCCAAGAGAAAGAAAGGGCCACATAAACCAGAAACTCCATCAGCATGAGATCAGAAGAACTCGATGGTGCCTGGCTACCACCAATGACTGCCCTGACAGGGAACACAACAGACAGTCCCTGACAGAATAGGAGAAAAGTAGGGTACAGAACTCAAATTCTAGTAAAAAGACCAGACTTAATGGTTTGACTGAGACTGGAGGGACCCCAGACGACATGTTAATCCAGAACTAAAACCATTCCCAAAGCCAACTCTTCAGACAAAGATTAGACTGGACTATAAGACAAAATAATACTCGTGAAGAGTGTGCTTCTTAGTTCAAGTAGATACATGAGACTGAACGGGCAGCTCCTGTCCAGAGGCGAGATAAGAAGGCAGAAAGGGATAGGACTGGTTGAATGGACACAGGAAATCCGGAGTGGAAAGGGGGAGTGTGCTGTCACATTGCAGGGACAGTAACTAGGGTTGCTGAACAATATGTGTATAAATTTTTGTATGAGAAACTAACTTGAGCTGTAAACTTTCATCTAAACCACAATTAAAAAAAAAAAAAAGTTCAGTAATGGTAGCCAGGCATCATCCAGTTTTTCTGGTCTCATGGCAAAGGAGGCAGTTGTTCATGGAGGCAATTAGCCACACATTCCATATGCTCCTCCAATTCCTGACTCCTTCTTCCTTTGTTGTTCCAGGCAAAAAGAGACCAACTGTTGTGCCTTGGATGGCTGCTTGCAAGCTTTTAATACTCCAGGCACTATGCAATGAAGTAGGGGTAGAACAGAAGCACTAAACACGTTATCAGACCAATTAACTGAGATGTCCCATGAAACCACGACCTTAAATCTCCAAACCAAGGAACCAAATCCCATGAGGTGTTTGGTTGTACACAAGCAGCCTCAGCAGCTACTCTTTTTTTTTGGTTGTTGCTGTTGTATACATATCTATCACACAACTTTTGCTAATTCAACTTTTTGTAGGTGTACAACTTTGGACGGCGATTACAATTATCTGCTGCACAAACCTACCTTTAATCAATGTGATTATTTCTATCACTGTTCACCCCTCCTTCCCCTTCCCTCCTGCCTGGTAACCACTAATAAACTTTGTTCTCTATACATTAGCCTTTTCTTGCCTTTTTATATAATTGAGGTCATATAGTATTTGTCCTTTTGTGATTGACTTATTTCACTCAGCATGTGTTCCAGCTCTATCCATATTGTAGCATGTATCAAGACTTCATTTTTCCTACTGGCTGAGTACTATTCCATTGTATGTACATACCACATTTTGTTTACAGTATATTCTTAATACAAAAAGAAGAACCAGTAATTACATTTTATTTTAAATGGCACCAAAAGCTTGAACATTTGTTTCTGGAAGTCTTTCCAGTAAAACAGTTGCTCTTTCTTGGGGGATAGGGAGATTAAACCGGGAGAATAGCCATTTTCATTTTCACTGGAGTTCACCTGATTAGAATCAACCGGAAGCAACTCTTAAGATTAAAGTTATTCATTAGTATCTCTTTCACTGGAAAATGTAAAGACAGAACACATGCGGGTGTCAGCAATTGCTGTGTGTGCTTACCCTCGGTTCTGTAAGTCCTCTAAGTTGGAGGCGTTCCATTCTGAGCCCTGAGGAGCCAAAAAAGACAAAGTTAGAGAGTATTAGCAAATCAACCAAATACAACACTTGAAAAGGAGCCCTGTGAAAGCAGAAGCAGAGCTTCTAAAAAGACCAACATCTACCAAGCTACGTTATCATGTTTAGTTTTCAGAAATAATAGAGTAAAAAAGTTATCGTCATCTTCATTTTTACAGATGAGAAAACTGATATTCTGAGAATTCAAATAATTTTTGCTCAAGATCACAGAGCTGGAGAGGCGTCTTTGACCACCCTCTAATCTAAGTTAGATGTCGTCTGTTATTTTCGCTCATAGTACTCTGATTTTTTTCCCCTCCATCACATGTAGCACAATTTGTACTTATATATTTATTAATGTGTTTATTTACTATCTCCTTCACTACAAGCTCCTTGAGGGAAGGGACCACGTCTTGTGTTCATTATGCAATCTGGCACGTGGCAGGTGTGCAATAAACATTTGTTGAAATAACAAAGTGACATTATTATGAATGAAGCCTAGATCTGATTCCAAGGCCCACATTCTTTCTAGTATATTATGTTTCACTTAGGAGTTGGGAGCTCAGTGGGGTAGGGGAGAGTACAACAGCAACTTATTGCAAACAAATAAAGGAAACATGATGTGCCAAATTTAAGAACAGGATAAAAGGCATTTCTGGGGGGAGGGGAAGTTCTACAAATTATGTGGAAGATACCTAAGTTGTTACTATTTTGCCACATTTGCTTTTTCTCTTATTCTTTCTTTCCCCTGCTCCCAGTCATTTGAACATAATATGAGCACCATGACATTTCAATACTTGAGATGTACAAAGAACAAGAACATTCCCTTACAGAATACCATTATTACACCCAAGAAATGTAACATTGATACAAGAATCTTACATGCTATCTATTTTCAAATCTCCAGTTGACCCCAAAATGCCCTTTATATTCACTTATTCAAGGATCACACTTTGTATTATGTTGCCATGTCTCCATCTCCTTTAGTCTAGGAGTCTCTTCCTCCCATTTTTTTTTTGGGGGGGGGGGGGGGGGGCTTTCATGACATTAATATTTTTGTAAAGTCCAGGCCTGTTATCTTGGAGAATGCTCTACAATCTGGGCTGTGCAGGGATTTATCTTGATTGTTTCCTTATGATAGATTCAGGTCAAACATTTTTGGCAGGAATATTACTTCCTATTGCATCATATCAGGAGGCACACAATGTCAGTTTGTCCCATTATTTGTCATGCTGAGTTTGAACTCTGGTAAAGATAATCTTTGTGTCTGCTGAATCCCTCTACTGTAAAGGTTCCTTTACAATTAATTAGTAATCTATGAAGTAATACTTTGAAGTCATGTGAATATCCTGCTTCACAATAACCTTCACCCTATGGTGTCACCTCTACCCTCATTCTGCTCAGGACACACATTATTGTATTTTTTAAGAAATTGTGGTAAAATGTACATAGCATAAAATTTGCCATTTTAACAATTTTAAGTGTTGATTCAGTAACATTAATTACATTCACAATGTTGTTCAACCATCACCATTGTTTCTAAAATTTTTCATTACCTCAAATTGTTGTACCCATTAAGCAATAATTCCCCATTACCCCCTCCTCCCAGCCCTTGGTAACTCTCATCTGTCTCTATGAATTTGTCTATTCTAAGTATTTCATGTAAGTGGGATCATACAATATTTGTCTTTTTGTGTCTCACTTACTTCACTTAGCATAATTTTTCAAGGTTTATCCATGTTGTAAGCATGTATTAGAATTTCATCCCTTTTTATTGCTGAATAATATTCATATATATATATTTAAATACACATATACACATACATACACACACACATTCTGTTTATCTACTTGTGTTTGTAAAAATATTTTATTGTATTTTTGGTGAAAGTGTACAGAGCAAAATAGGCCCCCATTCAACAATTTCTACACATATTGTTCAGTGACATTGGTAACATTCTTCACATTGTGTCAACATTCTCATTATTTCCATTCTAGTTGTTCCGTTTCCAATAACCTAGTCTCCCTGATCCCTACCTTCTCATCTATGCTTTACAGTATTTGTTGGCCATTTTGTCTCATATAGGTGATTTTTTTAAGAGTGCAGTACTCAAGGGTGATACTCGTTATTTTATGAGCTAACCTGCTACTTAGCTAAAACGTGACTTGAAGGGGTAATTCTGATGCAAGGTTTGAAGAGTATCTCAGGGTAATGGTCTTGGGGATTCCTCTAGTCTCAGTGGATCCAGTAAGTCTAGATTTTTTTGAGAATTTTGAGTTCTGTTCCACATTTTTCTCCCTTTCTATCAGAATCCATCTATTGTGGCCCTGATTAGAATGTTCAGTAGTAGTAACTGTGTACCACCTAGTTAATTCTTCTAGTCTCAGGGTAGAGGTGGCCATGATTCATGGAGACAATTAGTCCTGTAGACCAGTTCCTTCTTTGAATCTTGGGTTTCTTTCTTTCTCTTTTGCTCCAGACAAGCAGAGACCAATACTTGCATCTTAGAAGGCTCCTCTCAAGCTCTTAAGACCTCAGACACTACTCACCAAACTAGGATGTAGAACATAAACTTTATGAACTATATTATGCCAACTGACCAAGTTGTCCTATGAGACTCTGATCCTAAATCTTTAAACAAAGAAAACTAATCCAGTAAGGTGACTGGTTATGTCTAAAAAGTATCAGTTTCTGTGACCCTTATTTGTTTTATTTTATATATAAACATGTGTTTGTGTGTGCATATAAATCTCTTAAGTAATTATAAAATAGTGAATTTATAAAACATCATCTAATATTGGCTGAGGATGGAAGTCTGCTGAGGAAGTGTATGATTTCCACCCAGTGTATGATTTTTACACAGTGACACTGAGTAGCCTCTTCAGCTCTTTTGTGCTTCCTCCCCTGTGAGGAGACAATGCAGCTGAGAGCCTGAGCTTGGCCTTCACCATCACACAGTATACATAACCTGAAACTCAAAACCATATGCTGCTCTGTTAAGAACTATCTTTATGGGATCAAATTGATAACAGCAACTTGAAAGATTAGATCAGAATCTTAGGGGGCAGTGAATTTATGTTAACAGAGGAGGGACAACTCAGAAGAGGAGGGTGAGAACTGGCTGCACAACTTGGAGAATGTAATCAATGTCACTAAATGGTACCTGCAAAAACTGCTGAACTGGTGTATGTTTTGCTGTGAATATTCTTAACAACAACAAAATAAAAAAACAAAAACAAAAAAATATATACGCACACACATATACATACACAGATACACATATATGTATTTTGGTTGTTGTTGCAAAATTAGATATATAACCAAATCATCGTGCGTGCGTGTGTGCGTGTGCGTGTGTGTGTGTGTACACCTCAGTGGCATCAGTTACTTTGGTCAAGCTGTGCATACTTCACCCACACTCAGTGCTACTTTCCCAGCACCATAAATAAAACGTGACTACTATCTAGAGAATGACTCTCCTTCCTCCTACCCCCATCCCTGGTAACCACTGATGAATGTTGTTCTCTGTATATATAACTATTCTTGTCATTTTATAAAAGTGAGGTCATTCAGTATTTGTCCTTTTGTGATTGATTTATTTTACTAAGCATAATGTCCTTCAGGTTCATCTACATTCCAAGATGTTTCAGGAACTCACCTTTCTTTATAGTTGTCTAATATTCCACTGTATGTATGTACCACATTTTGTTATCCACTCATCTTTTAATGGGCACTTGGGTTACTTTTACCTTTTGGTTATGGTGAATAATACTGCTATTAACACTGGCATACAAGTATCTGTTTAAGTCCCTGTTTTCAACTCTTTTAGGTACATACCTAAGAGCTGAATTGCTGGGTCATATGGTAATTTTACATTTAACTTTCTGAGGAACTGTAAACCTTTGCAAAAGTGGCTGCATCATTTTACATACCCATCAGCAATGTACTGGGCTTCCAATTTTTCCACATCCTGGCCAAGATTTTTTCCTTTTTAAAATTACAGGCATCCTAGTAGTGTGAAGTGGTAGCCCATTGTGGTTGTGATTTGCATTTCCCTAATGACTAATGACTGGAGCCCTGCTGGCAAGCAGTGGTTAGGAGCTATGGCTACTAACCAAAACGTCGGCAGTTTGAATCCACCAGCTGCTCCTTGGAAACCCTATGGGAGCAGTTCTACCCTGTCCTATAGGGTTGCTATGAGTTGAAATTGATGTGATGGCAACAGGTTTTGGTAATGACTAATGATGTTGAGCATCTTTTCATGTTCTTGTTGGTTATTTGTGTATCTTCTTTGGAAAAAGTCTATTCAAGTTCTTTGTCCATTTTTTAACTGGGCTGCTTGTCTTTTTGTTGTTGAGTTGTAGGAGTTCTTTGTATATTCTGGATACCAAACCCTTATCAGGTATGATTTGCAAGTATCTTCTCCCATTCTCCGCGTTATCTTTTCACTCTCCTGACAACATCTTTTGATGCACGAAAGTTTTTAATTTTAATGAAGTTCAATTTATATTTTTGTTGTTGCCTATGCTTTTGGTGTCATTATTTAAGAAATCACTGCAAAATCCAAAGCCATGAAGATCTGCCCCTAAAGAGTTTTACAGTTTTAGCTCTTTAATTTAGGTCTCTGCTAACTTGAATTGTAAATTTTCACTTGAAGTAAACAATAAAATTAGAAAAAAAAGATTCACAGCCTTGAAAATCCTATGAGGCAGTTATATTCTGTCCTATATGGTTGCTATGAGACAGAATCAACTCGATAACAATGTTTTTTTTTTTTTTTTTTTAAACTCACACACCCATCTTGTTCCAGAAAGGATTTAGTAAGTTGGTTTCTTTTGGCCTCATGGAGATGTTTTATTTCTTCATTTGCATGATGATTATATGGTTGAACACAGATGTAAAAATTCACTGAGCTGTATCCTTAGGATTTGTGCACTTTACTGTATATGTGCTATACTTCAATAAAAAAGAAAAGAAAAAAAAATTAGGTCT